AGCTTGGGCTCATCCAGACAAACATGTTTTTGGTCCACCTAAAGTTCTGTCTCCTTTTCGCTGACATTATTTAAGTTTGGGAATCCCCTGACTAAGCAGCTATAGCTACTTTTGGCTGCCCCACTTTTGCTGCCCTACTCATATAACATCTCTTTCTCTGGCTCTTGAGGAGAGTAAACACAACCAAAACATCATTTGGGTATTGTTTCAATCCTGCCTCTTGCCACTTAGCCTCTAAATACACATTAACAGGTAGAGCACTTGGGAACCCTTTCTTTCCCAGTTGCTCACCACTTGGGTGAAAACGTTTTACTACGAGATCCTGGAGAGTCTTCTCATGTCCACTAATATAGCCCATGGGGTCTGCCAGAAAGGCATGTCTCTGCCAGCATTCCATCTTGTCACCAAAACTGTCAGGATCTAAGATTTTACTCTACATACACTGATTTTACCCTACATAGCCTAATAATTTAGCTTGTTACTGTTTCATGGTTGTTGGCAAAAGACACAAGATTTTTGGGTCAGAGATAAAGTGCTTTTTTACTCATACAGCGAACAGCATGAACATAATGTTGCTTCAGATCCCCACAGGGACAACAGGTAGAGGTTCAGGTAGATGCTCTGTGTACAGAGAGTTTACTCTGTGGCTGAGGAAAAATGAGCTTAGGAAATCCACTGTTTTTATAGTAACTAAATAGACAGGTCAGAAAGAAATAACCAAAAATGAAGGACAAAGTGACTAAATAATGCATAAGAGACATAAAGTCTAGAGTAGACTCTTTAAAAGTAGTTAAACTAATATATGAAAATAGTCTCTTCTCAAGTTGGAAATAGAAATTAATACAATTAGTGGAATTTTTGCCACTTCTTGTAAGTCTTATTTATCAATGTTACCAAATAATTTTCTTGAAAAAAAATGTCAATAGCAGTAGCCTCAGAACAATGACATTACTGCTCCGATTTCCAGCACTTCCATTCTCCAGGACGAGGAGCATCTTTATCTGTGCACACCTAAATCCCAAAGCTGCAGCAGGGCTCTCTGTACTATAATCAGGGAGAAGTGCCCTGAAAACAGGTGAGTAATGAATTCTAGACTATTGGTGATACTCCAGATTTCCCTCCTACAACATTTAAGTTCCTCTTCTTTTCTGCACAGTAATTTATAACCTCAGAGTATCCAGTGATTTCATCTAAATAAAACTATATTTGGTTGCACACAGGTTAGAAGCATAATCTCTGGTGTTAAATCAGCCTTTGTTCAGATTCCAGCATCACAACTTACCAGTTATGTGACCTGAAGCAAGCTATGTAATCATCCTGAATCTCAGTTTTCTCATCTGTGACAATGGCAACAATGTCACCAGCCTCAAAAGGTAGTTGTAAAGATTCAATGGATGTTTGATCACGTTTGGCTTTTACTATTAGCTATGTTGAGCACTGCCTTTCCCTATTATGAATATAGAATTTTATAAAGGAACAGAAAACATTACTAGTATGAGGAACACATTAAGTGACGAACATAGGTATTTGAGAGTCCCCTTGAACAAGAATTTCAGGAAGAACCAACTTATACTTCATTCATTGCAATACAGATGTCCGTCCTCTGTGCCATGGTACAGAACACTGAACAGCATGCAGTAGAGTAGGGAGCAGGAAGAAACTGACAGTAAGAATCAACTAACTTGTATTGAGCACTTATTATGCGCTAGGCTCTATGTAAGAGGTAATGAACAAACCAACATGGTCCCACCCTTATGGAGAGTATATGTCCAGGTAGCAGCTCCCTGGTACCAGTCCTCATGTGAAAGCAGAGTCTCCTGGGGTAGTTAGAGCCCTCAAACTGTGAGTACACATCCCACCCCTGACCTAATGAATCAGACATTCCAGGAGGTGGGGGACACAGGAGGTTGTATTTTTCAATAAGCGCCCTCTGGTGAGTCTAACAGTGAGTCTGGGAACCACTACTAGTGTTTCTCAAAGGACATTCAGATCTCAAACTCAGTCTCTTTAAGAGTAAAACATACAAACGTATTTTTAATGCACCAGGAGGTTTGAGAACTGTTATGCCAGACTGCTTCTCTCTAACACAACTTCCTTTTTATTAAATAATACATGTGAAAGTGCATTATAAATTGCAAAGCATGATACACGGTTAGTTGGGTACAATTTTTAAACTGAGAAAGTCTACTTTATACAAGTAACTGAAGTCAGTGGTGGAATATAACGAGGCATTCCTCAGAGCCTCACAAGTCTCTGACAGTCCTCACGGGTCAGTGGTCCCTGGGGTGATCTGCAGTGCCACACCTGAGCAGTTCCATACTTGGATGGCTTCCTTTCAGAGGTTCATAAAGTATATACACTCCTCTAAGCTACTTGTAGAGTTTTTTGCATCAAACAGAAATATTTATCAGGCCAACCCTGTATGAGCATAGTAATATGGTTCTAAACCCCTCAAATGTTTATCTTTCTCAATACACCATGAGATCAAAATTCAAGATGTGGGACTCAGGATGAGGAGGAAACTGGACGGTTTGGAGGGGACAAAGCAATGGTTAGAGAAGTTCCTCAGTTCCCATTTTAGATATGAGGAGTAGCAGGTGCCTTTGGAATATCCAGGGGGTGGTACCCCACAAATATCTGGACTTAAAGAGTATGGAAGCACAACGGGGTTAAGATCAATAACAGAGACACAATGGGTTTCAACTAGAGGTGGCAGAGAGCTTGCATAGAGAGAAAATAAATAAAGGAACACTCATCAGTGTACAGAGTCGCATGTAAAGTGAGAGAAGAAAAAGTGCAGCGAAAGTCTGAGAGAGACGCATCAAGGGGAGAAGAGGTGGTCTTGACAGCAGAGGGCTCTAAAGCCAAAAGGAGGTCAAACTTTTAAGGAAAGACTAGTCACCAGGGCCAAATACCACAGAGCAGTCAGCAAGGACAAGAACTGGATTTGCAGTCCCACATCACTGGTGCCATTCCAGGAGCAACAGAATAGTGGGAATTACAGTCCTCTCCTCTCATCTAGAAGTAGTGTTCCTATGAAGCTTCTTGTAAACTGAAAATGGCATAAAATGAAGAAGTATTTACCATTAATTTATATGGAAAAATTTTGTGGTGCTCCTAGATTCAAAAAAAATAACCTCTCTTAGGCTTTCCTGATACCCTAGGACACATCTTGCTAACAGATGGACAGAGCAAATCGAGATAAAACACAGGCGCTCACCGGCACAGCGCAAAGCTGTAGCGGCTTGGTGCTGAGATGCTGAGATGCTGAGATGCTGAGATGCTGCGTGTAGTTTCCTGGGAAAGAGCTCGGCGCTGCCACTCTCACTGCTCCGGGAGCCTGCAGCTCTAGAAAGCTCACTGTGCTGAATTCTGTATTTGCTTTTCACTTTTTTTCATAAAAGTGAAAAATCTCTTCAGATTTCTTTGAGTAGCAAAAATAGGTCCTAATGTAGGTCTTTTCCTAAAAGCAAAGTGTCATAATTCCAACTTTTGAAAAGTGGGGACACCTGTATTTTCTTCAGGGTTTTGGCCAGTGTTTACTAATAAATCTCAATTCCCTTTATAGTTCTGATTTAATTGTTTTCTGTCAAAGATTATCAGTCATCATACTATATGTCTGGTACCACTGAACATTAAGAAATTTTGCTTTCTGAAGGGCTGCTTCAGTAAGAATCAAAATGTAGCTGCACGTGTTCTCTCCCTACCGCGAACTTTCCACGCACTCCTGCCTTCCCCATACTCTCTCTCACTTCCAAGGAGACTCTAGTGTTAATATTTTTCAGGGTGTGTGGTGAACCTCTGGTATACAGTGGCCACTCAAGGCAAGTGTGTTTGATGAATGTGAATGGAAGGAATTTAGGAAGTAGGTGAGAAGAGAGATTTCTCCCACATTGAACATATAGTAAATACCCAATATCCGCTCTTTCAAATTTAAATGTAACCCTCTATATTTAAAAATTATAATTAAGGGATAGCTGTGCCCTGTAGCACAATATGTTGAGAAAAGAGCTTGGGAGTTAGACAGGTATGAGGAATGAAACCCAGCTATGGACATTTCATATCTGCAAAATGGGGTACTATTCCTCACTTCACTGGGCTGTTGGAAGAGTAGAATTAAATGAATGTATAAAAGTTCAATCATAGGGCTCTGCACAGAGTATGTTAACTGGTAGCGGTGGTAGTAGTATTAGCTATTCGTTATGCATACTATAAGCTGTTTATTCAGATATTCAAGATAGAAAACTACAATAATTTCCATACAAGTTGGGCAGGAAAACCTCACCACCTTTCACCTAGATGTAACCATTCCTTTGTACTCACATTTGCTTGAGAGGGTGCAACTGGAAACAACATATCAAAACCAAGTCTTGTGAACAAGGCCCATTCTCAGCTATTTTGGGGACTTTCCACCGGTGAACAACCTGCATTATAAAGCGTTGTTAAACGTTTAAAGAAAAAAATAAAAACTTCATTCATAACCATGGAAACCTTGAAGTCCTATATTGTCAGCGTGATTTCGATGCCCACTTGACAGGCTTTGCAAGGAACTAAGGAGGATGGGGTGGGGTGTAGGTTTGAGGGGATGGAGACAAATGGGTAAGGGGCGTGGTGGTGGGTAAGGGGACGAAGTGACCTCACGTACAGGAGCAGTCAAGCCTCTACCTTGATGCCCGAATCATTTAGAAAAACAAAAAAAAGTGCATTTCTTCTCCACTCCTTCGGTTCACTCCTTAAACGAGCTGGGCAGTCCACACCCTGTGCCTTAAAATGAGCACAAGTCATCCTGGTCTTAGGCCCTGGGCCCTCAGAAGTGGACCCGCACCCGAGGACGCTGCTGACCCATTAAGCAACCCTGCCGCGTCCCGCCCAGGACAAAGTCTCCCCAGCTGGGTGGGGGCGGCGGAGCCGGGACAGACTTGGCTCCGCCCCTCCGGCCGCGGCCCCGGCGGTGGGGCCCGTCGCCCCCTGCCCCGCCCCTGCTCCGCCCATCGGCCGGTGGCCCAGGGGGAGGGACGCGGAGACGGCGGCCGCTGCAACCGCGCAGCGCTCGGGAGCGCGCCCCGCATCCTGGTGCCGGCCCGCGCGTCTGAGCTCGCCGTGCAGTCCGCGGTGAGTACCGGCTCGGCCCGATCGACGTCCCGGGCGGGAACGCCGGCCGCCGGTCCCGGAGGAGTCGGTGTGAGCCTTCCCCGAGGCGCCCGAGGAACCTTCCGCGAGCGGGACTGGTGCGCGCAGAGCGGCCCGGGGCGTGGGAGAGTCTGGGGAGGCCGAGGGGGGAATCGGGGCTAGTTCTTGGGGATTGACCTCTCCGCCTTGTCCCCGGCCTGTGCCGCGCCGGGGACAGGGGTCGGGGACTGGAAATGGCTCCCTCTTCCCTCTTTGCCTTGGCTGTACGTGCTGCCCGGGGAGTCCTAGCCGAGGTTTGTGCGGGCCTCACCCAGAGTCCCAACCCCGAGGCCTCAACAGGGAGCCCTCCCCCAGCCCGGGCCGGCGGAGAGGGGGATCCTCACAGAGGGGCTGGCAGGTCGGGGAATCCACACCAAGTGGCAAGGGGGAAATGTGGGAAGGGGGAAGATACCGCTCCGTGGAATGGTTGAGCACAGAGCCCACCCTAATAGATTCAGAAATGCAGGAAGGAGCTTGGGCTGCCTTTCCTAATTCAGCCCGCACATCCGAAAGGCACACCGTCCAGCAACACACAGAACTCACCTCAGCGGGGCCGGGGGGAAGGAGAAAAAGCTTCTATCTAGGACAGCAGTTCTGAAACTTTTTGGTCTCAAAAACTCCTTTACACTCTTAAAAAAAATGAGTATACTAAGGAGCTTTTGTTTATGTGGATTATGTCTTTCCATATTTGCCATATATAAATAAAAGACATTTTTATTATATGTAGTAATTCACTTAAAAATAATAGTGGTTCTGTTATATGTTAGCATAACATATTTGTATGAAAATATCCATATTTTCCAAAACAGAATGTTTCTGAGAAAGAGTAGCATTTAAAAAATATTTTTGCAAACCTCTCTAATGTCAGCTCTAATAAAAGGCAGCTGGAATCTTTGATCTGCTTCTGTATTCAGTGTTTTAGTATCACATCATGTAGCCTCTGGAAAACTCCACTGTATGCTCCTGAAAATGTGACAGGAAAAAGGCAAATAGCATCTTGGTATTATTGTGAAAGTGGTTTTGACCTTGTGGATCCCAAGGGTCCCCAACACCACACTTTGAGACCATTGTTGTAGCAAATGCTTCAGAGGCTTAAACTGTTGGTCCTTCTTGTTTTCAATGCTTCCTCTGAATGGAAACACACACCCCACCTCCTTCCACAGAGGACCAAGCTCCACTTCACTTTGGAAGCCAAATACTAGGTCCCCACATAAGAGATAACAAGCCCTGTTGGCCTCCTAAACTCGGTAAGGCTCACAGATGGCCACGGTTGTCTGTGCCTGCAGAGCTGGCCTGCCTGTCCACTGGTAGCTCAGCAGTGATGTGCGCACGGGACCTGTGGGTTCAGAGAAGTACCTACACTAAGTGTGCAGGGGTTTGTTTGAGAGCTGCCAAGCAGTTGAGAAATTACTTCCAAAAGAACAGGGAGGAATGCTTTAGCCTTCCTTTTTCATCCATACTCTTTGCTGTTTGTAGTCATGTAGCCTTGAGTTCACTGGGATACGAGTCCCCAGTCTTGGTGCTCTTCCACTTTCTCCTTTCAGAGGTGTGCCACCGTGAGTGGCACTTCCTCAGCTGCTGCCAAAAATCGATGTCCTGCAGCCTGGAGTAGCAGGTGGGATCCCTCACTCATCTATTTCCTTGGCGTCATGCTCTGTCAGAACAAGTTCCAGATGAAATTACATACATATATACCACTAAAGAAAATAATTTTCTCTTTCCCTTTTTGTTCCTCCATCCATAGAGCCTCTCTGCTCTGATGAAGCAGCTCAGACACTGCAGCTGATTCTCTGGAACTGTCGCAAGCACATAAGCATGTCGCCTCTGTTGTTGCACTGTCCACAGATGGGAGAAGGGAGTGGGGTCTAACCTCTGAGCACCTGCCGTATTCTTGGTGTGAAACAACTTTGATGGTGGGTTCTCATTCCTTCATTCCCTTCAGTAGACAGTTATTGACTACCTACCTACCAAATACGCAGCTCTGTACTGGACACTGCGGAAGGTAGTAAGCACAAACAGGTGTAGTCCCTGTCTTTCTGGAGCTTACAGTCTGATAGTGGACGTGACTGCTGGTTAATTCAGACAGTCCCCTGTCTGAGTGTTCACATGAAACATACCCCTATGTGAAGAACAGTACCCCTACCAGATGTGTGCTTCTGCTGAGGAAGCCAGATTCACAAACTGTGAAGATAATGATAAAACCAACATTTATTACCGTGTGCCTGGCAAAGAAACTCCTTTGCCTTCCTTCCTCCACTCTTCCTTTTACGGAGGAAGTAAGTCCCTGTGAAGCAGGCAGACTCTCTACCAGGAAATGAGCACCAGTCTCGTTTCATTCATTGGTTGAGCCTTGGGCAAGGAACTTTCTCTCTTTGGGCCTCAGTGTCTTCTTCGTCTTTAAAGGAGACATTGGGCTGTTGATGTCCCAAGAAGTCGGTGTTTCGCTGGAGCTGGTTTGCACTAGCATTTGTACACATCTCTTCTCAACTCCACATTCAGTGGCATTGCATATTTTTAGCTTGAAGTCAGTCATTATGGGACCATGAAATCAGCGAATACTGTTAAGTCAAGGCTTTTCACCTCACTGGAGAGCAAGTTGTTAAAATAAACATTTACCAGTGCACTGTTGCTACTGTCAGAGCCAGGGTGCATTTTATTTGTGCTTTAATATAAAGCAAACTCCTTAGCCTGGCAGCGGGCTACCAGCAGACCCTTCTACCCCCTTTGTCCCAGAGAGAAGGAGAAGCAAGTATGAGACAGAGGTTCATGCTGACATAGTCACACTGCACCTCATCTATTTCTCTGTGATGGAGGCTCCAGCCTCAGCCCTCTCCCTCCAGTTGACCTAGAGGTTAGAAAGTTCTTCATAGAATTAGCACCATTACCCGAGAAGCCATCAGCTGACCATCTCCCTGGATCGATGGAGTTCATTTCTTTTTTAGCTCTTTTTTATGGGAAATCTCAGAGATACAAAGAAGTGGAGAGTATAAGTCCCCAGCTTCAACAATCACAAACATTAACATTTGGCCAATCTTGTTCCATCTATACCTTTCCCCAAACTCCCTTCTTTTTTCCCCTCTTCCAGAAGTTACCATCTTCATTTTCAACCATATAAATTAACAAGAAATTTTTCTTTGTTGTATCTTTTTAGTAACAAGCAGGTACTGACTGCTGTAGCCAGAAATCTTTATATTCTGCCCCTGCTGTCGGCAGGAGGGAGCTACTGAGTGGTCCTTGATCACTTGCTGTGTCGTTCTGCTTCACTGCTTTTGCATTTGCTCTTCCCTTGACCTTAGAGTCTAAATGGTCTTCCTTTTGCCTTCTCCCAGCACTCCTCTGTAAAGCCTTTCTCAGCTCCTCTAGTTACAGCCGTCTCTTTCCTGTGACCCTTATCATACTATAGTTATTTGTGTGCTTATCATAATGTCCTTGTTAGATAGTGCTATTTGCATAAAACGAGGTGTTCTCCTTATCTCCCTTCCTCCAGTGGTATTTAGTACTGCTTAATGTGGAGAAGATGTTCAGAAATATATGCTAAATTAATTTCAATTGATTAAGGTCGTGGGAGAACATTTTTTTATTATAAAAGAAATGCATAACTTAGACTCATAGACACTGAGAAGTGACTAGTGGTTACAAGGGGGAGGGGAGTGGGTCGGGGTGGTAGAGATGGGGACTGTTGAATCACTGTGATCTACATCTGATAAAATTAGAAAAATAAAAAGGAATTATAACAAGAAAAAAAAATGCATCACATTTAAAGGAAAATATTCAGACACAGCGTAGGACCAAGAATGTTTTACCTCACCCACAAGGACTTAAAAAAATTGTGATGAAAAGAATCTTCAATTTGAGTTACAAACTTCACATTATAAAATAAATGAGTAATAAGAATGGATGTACCATAGAGAATATAACCAATATTATATTATTTTGGTATGGTCACGGGGTAACTACACTTACGTGGTGAGCGTTTATAATGCATATAATTATTGAGTTACAATGTTGTATATCTGAAACCAATATACTATTGTATATCAACTATATTCCAATTTAGAAAAGAATCTTCAATTTGAGCCAATATAAAAAGACAACTTTTTCAAGGAAAATGTCTTTCTTTATGGTGTGTTGCTATTTTTTCACATATGACTGGAGCCCTTTGGTTTTACCTGATTTTAGAATGCTTTTTCTCTGAGTAGATAAGAGTGACTGACCACATTTTAGAATATCCATTGTGTTTTAAAATGTAGATTTAAATTATCAGTAAAATAAACAGGCTATGTTTAAGGCCCACATGTTCCAGGAAGTCAGTAATATCATTGTCACATTGTGCTTTCATCTGTTAACCTTGTTTAATGATTACAGCATGGGGCAGTGCAGGTATTGTTACCTTAAATCTGCAAATAAGTAAATTGAGGTTTAGAGATACAGGACAGAAATTGGCAGAGTCTGATTTTAAGTGTGAATTGGAAACCACAGGGCTCTGGGATGAGATGTTATGAACATGCAAAGACAGGAAATTATCTTCCTAAGCATTTTATGTCTTTGGGAGACAGACTAGGTGCTTGAGGTAAATGTGTATCCTGTAATGCCACAGAACTACCACCCTCTGGACCAGTCATGTCTCAGATTCTGCATGTTCTGCTTTAGTCTTTGTTGTAAAAATTAACCCACTTCCGGATGAACTAGCCAGGCTGCTGTGCACGTGTGCTGATATGGCGCTGTCTCTCTTTTTTCTTGACCTGCAGGAACTCTGGGCAAGCCCATCTTTGGATAGTGTGACTTGCCTGGGCTGTGGCTCTAACTGACCTCTATGGAGAACTTAATTATTCCTAATCCTCATCATCCTTTTATAAACTTTATTGTAAAATTACAAAGCAAAGTACATGTTGTGGCATAGTTCGTGAAGAAGGTGTGTCATTCTAAGAAAGTGCCCTCCTGCATGATCACCGGGTTTGAATTTGGGTTTAAGAAAAGGAAAGGTGAATAAATCTCAACAACAGCCTGTTATGTGCAAGAGCTAACCTACGACAGACGTACTAAAAATACAACACCGTAAGAGTGGTGGGATAAGCTGATAGAACCAGTCGGCTTCAGGACTGGTTTTAAGGACTGTCTCTTTCATGAAACCCTTATTTGCTCAGATAAGCAATCAGTTGCATCTTAAGTGCTGGCTGATGATGGGTTATTGATATTAACACACCCTTTAAAAGTTACCATCATGATACAGGTTTGCCAAAGTCAAGGATATTTTAGGGGAAACAGAGGTTAACTATCTAGTCTTCACATAGAGTTTGAAGTGAGATTTAATTTTTTTTTCAATCTCTTTGGTTAACTTGGGGGTCTGTAGGAGGACTATAAAATGCCATCACTTATGCAGCCTATTGGGACACAGCATGGCATAAGAGAGTCAACCCTGGCATCAGGGGGCCTGGGTTTGCCTCCCAGCTTGGCCACTTATCAGCCATGAGACCTTGACAAGCTACTTAACCCCTGATCCTTAGTCTTCTCATCTGTAAAAAGGGGTGGTGATGCCTTTCCCAAAGAGTTGATAAGGGACCACATTAGACAATATGCATGAGGTGCCTGGTACCCCAAAGGTACTCAGAACATTGTCACCAGGTGGCAGTGTTTATGGAATGATGTAGCACTACAGCATAATGCCTGTACATTGATGCTCTTCTTCCAAACCTCTCTCCCAGTCCAGATCTCTTGAACTGCAGGGCCACCTAAGCAACTGCCTGCTGGACATCTTCATCCCAAATTCACCATATCTAAAACCAACATCCTAGTTCCCATCACTGGCTCTGCTAGTTTGCCTAATGACGAGTGTAGGAACTATCCTAGACCTCTCTTTCTTCATCACTCACTCTCAGTCCATTCTGCTTTCTTAACTCTCCCTGGGATCTACTGTCCCTGTCCTCTTTTTCTGACCTGCCCCACCTGATGACAGAATAGCAGTGTACCTGTCTGCCTGACACCAGTCTAACATCCTTCCCCTGAGTCAGTCCCCACCACTATCAGAGTGGTCTCTGGAAGTCAAATCAGGTCTTCAAGAGTCCAGTTTAGAATCTTTTAGTGGTGCCTCCTTGTCTCCAGGATAAATCCAAACCTTTCTGTGAGGTCCCTCAGGATATAACCCCTACCCCTCCCTGTTCATCTCCTCGTAGCCCTGCCCCACCTGCACCCTGTACTTAACCCACATGGAACATCCACTGACTCCCATCGGGCCACCCTTCTGTGCCTTTACATATGCTGTTTTCTCTGCCCAAAATATTCTTTCACTGACTCTCTCCCTCTGGTAGTTCTGGAAAGCACGGGCATGGTGTTTCCTGTCCTTGAAGGCCTTTCTGACCCCCCACCCCCACCCCAGATTATGTACTCTCTCTAGATGTTTCTTTAGCTCTCTCCATCCACTGCGGCTGCAGCGTGGACTGCAGAGTACTGCCCGTATCTCAGTCTATGTGTAACTGAGGAGTGATGGCAACTTTTATCCCTTTATCCCAGCATTCCATAAACGTGTGTGTGAATGAATCTATGTTGATCGGTTCTCTGAGACTGCAGATCCAGAGAGGTCTAGGTACTACATGTGTCTAGTGCTGCCCTATTGTGTGTCACAGCTTTGACCCAATGGAATGGCAGTTGCATATAGAGGCCATGCCACTGTGTGGACCACTGAGGTGGACCTTGAGCATAGTTGCTCAAGAGCGGGGCTTGAGTTGGAGTTCTAGTGTCTGCTCTCAATACACCTGCAGTCTGGCTTTAGATTTCCAGCTCCTAACCACATCTCTGTGCTGCGATGGGCAAAGAACATGCTGGTCAGGAAATGGGAACATCAAGTCCTCCTGAGTTACCTTTCTTCTTGAAAATCAGTGAATATGGGTAAATACATTGAGCTTCTGGGAAATGTACTAGCTTGGGTCATCATTCTTGAGTCCAGGCAGTTCTAAGGTAGATGTGGGTAGGTAACCTCAGAAACTTGGTGAATTCATAGAAATAAATGCTGCCCTATGAGACCCCTGGCAGCCTGACACCCAGCCTTTTGTGGTGACACTCTTTCTTTCTAACTCCTAAAATTTCAGTTAGAAAACTCATTACCAGTGATCTATGAAATGAGTTCAGAAGCTTGAGGAAACCGTGCACTTTCTTGAGAATGGATATTATTGAGGCCTGCTCTGTAGTGCTTTTAAAAAATAGTTGCCTGCTCCTAAGACTTACATGCAGTAGGACTTGGTCTCTGCAATGTCATTTTGAAGCCCCACTAGTGACTGTGGCTTGCTGCAGGGTAGGGCACCCACATTCTCAAAAGGGGCTGAGGACAGACCTTGATGAGAGGGTGAGGTCAGGAGCCGAGGGCTGGGTCAGGATGTCTAGTTCTGAGGCGCCCTGGCCCACTTCTTCCTTTACTTTCTGGCCAAATGTTTCATGACCCCACGATGACTTTTCTTTCCTCAGTGCATCTCTGGAATTACAAATTCTGAAATAAGACTTTTTGGGAAACTCTGCTTATATTAGCTCAAGTGATAGCAGAAAATAAAAATAACTATTTCTTATGAGTTTGTGCTACTGCAGTTAATTTACAATAACCTTAAACGATGTGTTGGGCGAGCTGTTCTTTGGGAATTGCCTACGATGTGCTGTCTTGGTCAGGAAGCCTAGAACTGGGGAGCCGCTTGGTCAGACAATGCAGTGGCCATGGCCCAGGCCCGCCCAGTCCTGACCATTGCCTCTGGCTGTGACTGTGCACATCTGCCAAGTGACTCATGATCATTTTTATGATACACCCTAAAAATTTCCAGTGTTACTTAATAACGAAGTTCAGGGAAACAGAGGGGTTAGATTTCAGGAAGTAGCCACTTTTTAAATGCAATCTAATATTTTGACAAGTTAATTTCTTGTCAAATTTTAACAGATCCCAATGCTGGAAATCTACACCTTAAAAGTATAAACTAGGGAGAGCACTTTGAAGTTTGTTCTTAGACAGAACCCCTGTAGTGACTGACTCTGCTGCCTCCGCATGTCATCTCCTCCTTTTCTGCCCTCTCTTACCCTGCTCTGGCCTCCTCAGCCTCTTCAGTCCTACGTCAGGGCCTTTGCACAAGACTTCATGCCTTTTCCAGATCACATATAGCTTGTCCCTCACTCATTTCCTTCAAAGCTTTGCTCAAGTGGCTCCATGTCATAGCTTTGACCTTCTGATACCTTCATGGCTCCCTCGCGGCCCGCCCTGCCTACTGCCTTCATCCTGCTTTATCCAGGGTCTGTCACCATCTGCCATTCTGTTTGTATATTTATTGGTTTAGTCTCCCTTCATTGTCTCCCTCTGTCCTCATGGAAGTAACATAAGGGCAGGGACTTTGACAGTTTTGTTCCCGGCTGTATCCCCAGTGCCTAAAACAGTTCCCAGCACATACTAGACAGTTAACATATATGTTTTGAATGAATAGATTCTGCAAGTAGCCTAGAGGAGTGTATATACTTTATGGGCCACTGAAAGGAAGCCATCCAGGTATGCAACTGCTCAGGTGTGGCACTGCAGATCACCCCAGGGACCACTGATCCATGAGGACTGTCAGAAGGGACTTCTTAGATCACTGACTGACCTTATATTACAGAGGCACACAAAAGGATTCAAAACAAAACTGAATAATTTTAAAAGTGTTACAGATCCTTTAAAAAATCTGAGAAAGTATTTAGAGCATTTTGGTCTGTTTTCCAGGATGAGACAGAAGAATAAGTGAAAAGAGATTGATAACAAAAGTTTAGCAAAAAAAGGTAAGTTATTGTGTGATGGCAAAGCTTTCTGACAGAAGGCAGAGTCTTGTTTTATAAAGTGCATCTTGCATTTAACTAATGCTCAAAAAAAATGTGTCAATAGATTTAGTTACATTGTTATAAAGTCATTCCTTTCTCCAAGACCTTCCTTCTGCACTACCCTTCTTAATTTTTTTTTCATTCTCTCCCGAAACAGACAATTGCTCTTATGGCTTCTCCTTCAAATTTCTTATGGTTACAAGTATCACATTTAAGAGATGTGTGTGTGTGCTTTAAATTACTTTTATGAACAGCTAAGAGAATGAAAGAGGTGAGCTGGTCTCTAGGAAAATTCAGAAATAATTTAGTTATTCCAGTTTCCCAGAGGCATCTGCACAGATAAAGCAAAGAACTAATATCTGTAGCTCTCGTACCCAGCTGACAAGCCACAGGAGCCCACCAGCTTGAGTGGTTCTCACAGCCATCTTGTTCCTGCTTACATGGACACCCTTGGAGTCTCCCTTTTGACAGAAAGTTGTTTCCAAGTAGCATGATGTTTAGATACACAAGAGTTTGGGAGTAGGACCAATTTATTTCTTTTTGAATGGAAAAAAGTAGAGCATAGCTGATCTTTACAGTGAACAGAAGTAAACTCTAGAGATGCAGTGACACTACTTTACCTTTGGAGCTGGAAGCCATGAAAAGTCAGGATGGCTATATTTAAGAAAGTGATAAGAGAGGTGGTAAGCCATGTAAAATAGAGAAGAAATCTCTGTTGTTTGTATCAACTTAAAGAATCCGCTCTTGTTTGTTTTTAGACATCCTGAATAAACAGTTCAAGGATGTGCTGTCTGTGCTTGAGACCATAAAGCGGTGATTCGCAGCACAGCACTTGAAAGCTCTTTCAAACTAAACAAGCTGTCCTGGAGACTGATGTGCACACTGCCCACCCAAAAAGACAAAGACAAAAACAAAGAAACAACTCTATCTTCCCTACGCCATCACTGACAAGAGCTCTGCCACTCAGGGTCACTGCTCTGCTCTGCGCCCCCCTTCCAGTGTGCGTAGACTGTGTGGTTGGTTGTAGGGCCCAATCATATCTATGCCTCTTTCTCAATCATAAAACCACCTAAAAGTATTCACCTCTGACAGAAGACACAGCTAAATCTTGGATTTGTATACTCCAAAGCCTGGAAGGAGACCCAAAGAGGTGAATCTTAATTTGACCTCATCATTGGCATTTAGCCAAAAGTCAGTCAACTGTGCTGTGTAATGAGCATCATCCCGTGACACACCCCTGCCCATGGGGTGTATGGTCCGAGATGGTCTTCCAGCCAGAGTGATGGGTTAGCAGTGCACTGCCCATATGCCCTCAAGAAACCCATCTGTAAGATGACTGCCTGGGCTTGGAAGTTCAGGCTGGGTTACAGACAGGAAAGCTCACTGACCCAGAAGGGGATTTTGCCCATGATTTAAGCTAATCAACTGCTTACCTTGCTATAAACAAGTCGGTTCACAGTGCAGCCAAGCTTGGGGTCAAACTGTGCATTAGGTTTCAGGGCTTCCATCTGCTGTGAGGGCTCCCGTTATATAAAGGGGAATCTTGTGGATTGCAGGTCTGAAAATCAGATGGAGGCCAAGGTCAGTCCTTGACTCTCCAGGGTGATAGAGCTGAGTCTCATCTACATGAATAGCTCAGGCAAGTCCCCTCAGACACGAGAACATTTGGTCACCAGAGGCCATTTTAGTGTCACTCAGTTTGGCCTGTCTCCAGACAGGCAGTTTACAAGAGAAGAAATTCAGATGTCTAACAGACAGATGGAAAGTATTTCACCTTCACTAGCAGTGACAAAAATGCCAAAGATTAGCTTTTCATCTCTCAGTGTGGCAAAGGTAAAAACTAATTACGTTGCCTGATTTAGGCAGCTCCATTCACTGCCCCAGAGAAGGGTCATAAAATTGGTGCAGCCTTTCCCAGGCAACAGACGTGTAACAAATAGGAGATATGATAATCCTTTCACCCAGCGGTCCTACTTCTAGGAACTGAAAGCTAGGAATTGAAGGAAATGGATTAAGGACCTGCTCAAAGAAGTGTGTCCAAAGGTTGCAGCATTGTTTGAATGTTAATTCTTGGAAACAACCTAAATATTTTAATAATAAGGCATTAAGTAAATTGTTATATATCTGAATGCTATTTTTATGGTATAGTTAAAAGCGGTATAAAATATCACATGAAGGCACTATAAAGATGTTTGTAGTCTATTGCTGAGTAAAAAGAAAAGCAAAAAAAAAAATGTCTAATTCATTTTTTTAAGTAAATCCAAGTGCAGTTAAAAGTCATATTAAATGAAACTCCAAACCATGGTATTAAAGATGACTTTAAATTTCTTCTTTTGCTCACCTGCATTTTCTAATGTTTCTACAATGAGCATCTATTGCTTAGTGTAATATTTTTAAAGTTATTATCACCCAAGGAGACATGGTCTAGTAACAAGTTTGGTACCCTGCTGGGGTGGGGGTGCCCAGGGTGGGGGAGGGAGGTTTATAAGGCAGGAGTCCAGCTTGGATTGATGTTTGATTGTTAAAGTGTGGAGCTGTCCATCTAAAGTTAAATTATGAACTATTCATGGATTCTTTTTAGAACCATTTCACTACATTGGTGGATAACAAAGGACATATTTTGGGGAGCAAAATATATTTCTCTAAATAGTATCAGTCACAAATTTACTTTCAAATAAATCTTGATCAGACATTATAAAGAAAAGACTGCATATTATAGTTACAGGAACTTTTTATGAATTGCTCTATCTTCCTTCCAAGTCATAGCCAAGTTTTTATTTTATATAACTCTTATTTATAGTTCTTACTCCTTATATGAAATACCCTCTGTAGATATTTATGTACACATTGAAAATGACAGCTCCAGGTGTGTAAAAGGTAAGTAATAAATAATTGCATGCTTACAGGGAAGAGAACTTGGGTTCTGTTTAGAGGTATGTAACATAACATGTTTAAAGCACCTCTATCCTTCACTCAATGGTTTCTTCTACTTAGAGGTAATCAGTTTATTCTATAGCTTTCTTTTTGTATTCACTTACATGAATGAATTTATACTAATAGTCTTGAATGGATATATACTAATAGTCTTCAAGTTTTTTAACATAAGTTTTTAAACTCAGCTATATTTTCTTTCTGATTCTACCGCTCAGATTCTAGTAGATAATATTATTCTGCAACTTTTTCTATTTCACTATATCACTTAATGTCTTTGCTCACATTTCTCATGTTGAATCTGCATAAGGAATTGCATGTTAGATATTTATATTGTATGTTTGTTAAACTGATTTGCCTTTACTCCTCTGCCTCTCTTGAAATAAACCAGTCACCCAGGGCAGGTTGATAAAAACTTAACCATATGTTGTTTTCTCAAAGTTTAGCTGTTAGTCATCTCTCTGGAATTTTGAACCACATGAAACATTCAGTAAATGACTACAGAATAAACTCACAAAAGCACCAGCAAACTGTGATATGCCTAAATCGTACTTTTGCAACTCTGCTTCTGAAGGATTTTATTCATTTTTTTTTCCCTGCTGGAAATTTGCATTTCATTGGAGGAAAATTCAGCTGTATTTTCTCCATGGTTCTGCCATTCGGAAGTCCTGTGACTCCAGCTAGTCACTCACTTTATTTTCAGAGTTGCTTTCCTCTTCAAGGGAAGGCTAAGTGATCTGTAAGGCTCTTTCCAGGAGGCTCAGCATTCTTTGATTCCATCTCCTTGCCTCCTAAGCATCAGAGGTCAAGGTGTTGGGAGGTGGGGATGTGGTGAGGGGCTGGTGCCATGTGGCATATGCACCATGAAGGTGCTATTCCAAGTCACCTGCAAGTATCCTAACTGTCTCTGGTTGGGGAGGAACCCCAGCTCTGAACTGTCTTCACCTTTTTACTGAGAGCATGGTTCATTTGTTAAGTGTCCTAGATCTGCCTGCCTTTGCCTAGTATTTAGTATTTCTATTGATTTACCTTAAAAATCATGTTCAAGACTCCTCCCCCCCTCCATTCTTCTATGTACAAAATGTTCCTTGGGGATCAGGACACAAGTCACCCAGCTGGTCTTTCAGGATGGGTTAGCTTTGAAAGACACTGTTTCTCAACCAAAAAATTATCTTGATTTTCAGAACGTGATGAAGGGGTAGTAAAGGGTTTCATATACAGTACAAGTGTCTCTTTTGGACTCTTTGTGTATAAGAATTGTTTGCATGTCCTTTCTGATTCAGAGGCCAGGGATAGATGTTCACCTCTCCTAACACTCTGCATGCAAGCGTTCAGGAAGAATAAGTTCTGAATGAGCTCCAGCCTCACTGCTTAAAATATATTGTTTCCTTTTTTTTTTTTTAATTTCTTTTCTCTTTTCTCTCTTCCATTTTTCTTCTTTTTTCCTTTGTCTCCATGCAGTGTCTTCTTATTCCGTAGAATGGAAAAGGCAGCAATCCAAACATATTTCCATGTATATTAATTCTTCCCCCTTCCAAACAAGAAAAAAATATATAACAACACTCCACCCTCTCCCAAAAAAATCCACACCAACTCTGGTCATTCCTCTCTTTTATTAGTATTGAATGGGGATTAGATAAAACAAAAAAGGTAGGAACAAAGCAGAAGGAGAAGATGGGGGACAAGAACAGAAAGGAATTCAAACAATCGTATGTGCTTTATGTGAATTTAGAAGTAGGCAGGGCTCCCTGGCCGACAGACCCAGATCTTGGGGTAGGTGTGGAATCCGCAGGCCCTGTGGTAATTAGGACCTGAGGTTTGGGGATGGAGTACAGTTCTGGCCAAGGTAAGGCAGACCTAGGAAGTACTCACAAGGCCTAGATTCCACTTTGGATCTGCACCTTTCCCAAGATAAAGACCAGTCCCCTCACAGCCTCCTCGCGGCATGTTTGGGGCTTTCTCTTGGGATTAAGGTACTTGGAACTCCTGGCAGGGCATCTGAAACAGGAGTGACAGTGTGAGTGAAACCTTGGGAGTAGCTCTGACTTGCAGAGCCCTCCGGGCTTATACAGAGGGGTTGTTTCCCAAACCACTCTGCTGTTGCTTTCCACTCACCTGGGACTCCATAAAGTGGCTTGGGATGTGTGATGCCGGGCCCAGGCCAATGTGCTGGGTGACCAATGGAAGAAGGAAAGGCAACTCTAGTATCCACAGCTGCATCTTGTAGGATTTCTCAGGCCCGAACAAAGCCTTTGGGCTTTTTTCAAGTCTGGGGGTTGGTTGGTGACCTCCAGCCACACCACCTTCACAACAGGAGTTGTTGCACTTGGAGAGGCGAGAGGCGCCACAGGGTGGGTGGAAAGAGCCGAGTTCAAAACCCAGCTCTGCCTCTTATTAGATGTATGCTGTTAGGCAAGTTTTTCCATCTCTCTGAGCTGCTGTTTCTCAGCTGTAAAATGGGAATCAGGATGCTTTAAGTAACAGAGATGTTGCCAGAGTTAGAGAAGATGGGCTGAAGCACTGGGCATGTGCTGGTGCTTAGTAATTAGTACCTGATTCCTCCTAATTGCTGCAAGTAGAAATTGCTTCATTAATATAGTGAAACTAGACAGTTATCTACTTTCTAAGGAAAAAGGGAGGCAGATGGTAGAGCGCTTTACACAAGCCATTTTCTACATGATCCATACTGGTCATCATTCCATCCTGAAATGCCAGCTTGCTTTGTAGGGTGCCAGGAGCAGCAGGAATTGTATAAGGCCTCCAAAGTTCTGCGCAGGCCATCTGTAAGGGAAGCAAATAGACACATTTTATCTTCACTGCATCATGGCAAACCTGGGTACAACTTAGTGACCGGTTCAACCATAGACTTTGGGGTCACCTGGCCCCTGTCTCTGTGGAGACACTCTTCTGTGGATCCATTTTCCAGGCCAGCAAAACAGCAGTTTTCCTATCGCAGCTGCAAATCTGTTTGGAATGGAAGAGTGAAGTCTAGGGCAGTGGCATTGGTGACCAACCAAAGGGAGAGGAGCATTATTGCCTTTTTCAATTTACATCTTCAGAACTGTAGTCAATGGGATCATTAGTCTCATTTTATGAGCCCACAGATCTGTAAACTTCTCCTTCTGCAGACAAGCCGGCGTGTTTCTTGCTGAATGGTGTATTTACAGGCCTTTTCTTCCTAACTGGCTCCCCATGTAATGGGCATGAATAAAAAGACACTTGCATTTCTGTGGCACTTATCTTAAGTAGACTCTCCCCTCAAACACAAAAGCCGCCGTCTTCCCTCCCAAAAAGTAGTCCTTCACCTCGCCGTACATGGAGTTCCACTGTGTTTCTTCTCCCGTCCATGACTCCCCACTCACTCAGCAGCCGTTCTCTCTAACTTTGGTCTCTTCAGCTTTTAATCCATCTACAACTTCTTTTCAATTTCCGCTGCCACCATCCACTTGTCCACTCAGGTCACTTTTCACCTCCTCCCCTTCCGGAGTCTCCTACCTGAGTTTCTTCTCTGCTCACCCTTCCATTCCTCCAGTCCAAAACATCTGCCAGGTTATGTTGGGACACAGGTCAAATAGGGGCACAGGGGTGTTCGGTTTGGCCCTGCATAGTAGTACAGAAAAATTTAGTTACCAACATTTATAAATCAAGAGAGTTCGTGTAGAAATGCAGATTGCCAGCCTCATTTGAAAAGCTGGATGATCTGTTAACTCTGGACCAGCATTCCTGCAGGCAGCCCTTGGCTGGAGCCAGTGACCTCTGCCCCCTTAGAGGTTGAGGTTGCCCGGTCCCCGTGCAGCCTGCCTCACTGCATAGGGCCCTTCCTGAACCTCAGAGGCATTTTGGTTGTGGCTCCCTCCCCCTTCCAAGCACCTCACTGCCTCCTGAATCGTCAGTTCCTCAACTGGGACTCCACGGGGTCCAGCAGTGACTCCTAAGCCAAACGTGTTAGAAACGCATGGGAGATTAAAGATGGTGAATCCTTCCACTTCCCCAAGTCAATTCAGATTCAGTAGCTGAGGGGAGAGACTCAGGAATCTATTATTAACAGGAAAGATACCTGAATAATTCTAGGACATTTATAAACTTCTATGAACATGATTACACTGTGTTCTAGTGTCACTTGCCAGCCTGTCTTTAGTTTCAGTTCCAGATTTCCTACAGCATGTCAACTGGCCCAGACTGGGTCAGATACCTTGTCCCTTGCTGACGAAATAGCAGATCCCCCAGAAAGCATGTGGGACGAGGGGAAAGCAGCAGCTCCCAGGGAGGCACTGGCAGACAAGCTCACTCTTCCCTCTGCATTCACTTGTGCATGTTACAGGTGTGGCTTGTCCTCCCACATCCTGCACTGGGAGCTCCAGGAAGGCGGAGGCAGCATCTCAATCGGCTGCCTCTCCTCAGAACACCTAGCACTGGGTTTTGAACAGAGCAAATGTAGAAATACCTATTTCTTTTAAACTTTTAACTAGTTCTCAAAAAGTTATCTATGTACACATTTAAAAGTGCAAACAATATGAGAAGATACACAGTGAAAACTGAGACTTCCTCCCAGTCTCGATTTCAGGGCCCCTGCCCCTCCTAAAGCAACCAATCTTTCTTATGTCTTAATAAAGACAGGGGCTGGTCTCTGGAGGCAAGGCCCACTTGTAACTTTTTCCCCACAAACAGCAGTTTCCTGTATCATGGGGTTTATTTTTTCATTTTATAGTAATATGTTGTTCTTTCCATATCAGTCATCCCAAAAATGTTAAATATTTACTCATAAAACCCTGGATTAAGTAGAGAGATGTTACTATTTTTATCTTAAAATTAGGACTCTTGGGGGAGTGGCTTGATTAAGGATTTCTGCCCATAGAGTAGAACTTGAAAGCAAGTCTTTGGACTCCTGCCCTAGTGTGTTTTGCTCTGAATTATATAGTTAAGTTATATGAAATCACTTTATATCTGCCTGGTGGAGGCCAGGAACAGTGTCTTCCCTGTTCACTGCGTATCATTTATAAAAAGATAAATGAGAAGTCATGCCCAATGCTGCATGCAGTAGAGTCCCCTCCAAACCTGTCTGGGGAGTTTGGGCCTTTATGCCACCACCGTGAACCTTATTTTATGATTTCTTAATGTGAATACACTGTCATTACCATATGCAAAAGTCATTCAGGAAGACTTCTAGTTGACATGCTTATTTAAAATGCTGCAGAGTCTGTGACATAGAAAACAGCTGCTTTGAAGTCCTCACTTCCAAAGTTCAAGTTTTATACAGTTGCGTAATGTCACCTGCTATGGACCTCTTACCTCCAGTCAAGCAAGACATGAGTCCAACTCAGAGGTCTGTTCATATATTCAAGATTTATTTTGAGCACAGCCTTCATTTCCCTTCTTCCCATATTTTATCAGTGAAAGAATGTTGAAAAGTTGTAGAACTAAGACAAAACAAGTCAGGGATTTTATGCTTTCTTGAGAGGTGAATGCTAGCTTTCACATTAACATCACAGAAATCCATTTTATTTTCTAAGGATATCATTCTTGCATTCATTTATACCCCATCTTCCCCCTACTTTGAGAAGATAAGTGATTTCTTAAAGTGAATGCATACCATAATTGTTGAAGAAGCCAAACACTCACCAGAATAAATGAGGTCAAGAAAACAAATTAGGTGTTTTCTTTCCTTTTCAGACACACGTGACCATCAGGGACCATGAACAACCCATTTGCACACCTTGCTGAGCCTTTGGATCCTGCACAACCAGAAAAGAAATTCTTCAATTTGAATAAATTGGAGGATACAAGATATGGTGGGCATATGACTCTATGATGTAACTGATCTGACAGCAATTGGAATCTCATTTGCATGATAATAACACTAATTAGTTAGCCTTTATAGAGCTGGAAGAGTAGCAGAGAATTGCTAAGTGATCTTAGATTAAACATACAAACACACACCTAAACACACATTTTCTTAAACTGACATTTTTAAGTGTATAATAATGATTATATACATGTAACATTTATATATCACCCTACAGTATGTAGAGTGTTGGTATATATTCATTATATCACTTAATCTGGAGAACAGTCCTACGAGGTCATGTTGTAAAGTATAAGAAGACCCAGAGAGGATCAAGGATGTGATCAAATAAATAACTACTATGTGGGTAGCAGAAGAGGGCAGAAACACAAATCTTTTTATTCCAAATCCTGTGCTTTTCTACCTTTGTACTCGTCTTTTCCAGATAATACTGGTGAATATTTTCATTTATCAGGATAGAACATGGCTTTTATAAATAAACAAAATAGTTTTCTTATGAATTACCATTGTTTTATCCTAAAAACCATAGTTACCAATGGCCACACTATGTGGTACTTAGGGTTTCGCTTCCAAAGGAAAATGTACATGACTATACTTTGGTCTTAATTACAGTAATTATAAAGGGGTATTTTCTCATTTTTTAAACAATAGTTCTCATAAGAAATATTACTGTGTGTGTGTATTACTTGCTAACATAATATTGTAAATATCTAGACTAATTTGTTTCATAATAACTTACGGGAAACCCTGTTATTGGAATCTAAGTCAAGGCAACCACTTACAAACATATATATACACCATTTATAAATAGCTGTAATATTTTGCCTAGTCTGGATATTTTCTATATATTTTCAGTGGATATATCTAGCAAATGAATGTCTCTGAAACCTATTCAATATCCTTATATTTTAAACTGCTGAAATCAGTTTAAATTTACCCTCTTTTCCTGTTGGAAGAATAGTTTGACACCTCATATCAAGCTTATATAGAGGTTGGCTTTACAGAGCTCTTCTAATAAGGTGTCTCTTGATTTTTGTTTTGTTACACTTCTCCTTTTCTCCTAGAACGCTTACCATTTTCTATCAGAGTTCTTCTGGAGGCAGCCATTCGGAACTGTGATCAATTTTTGGTGAAGAAAAATGACATTGAAAATATCCTGAATTGGAATGTCATGCAGCATAAGAACATAGAGGTGCCATTTAAGCCTGCCCGGGTCATCCTGCAGGACTTTACGTGAGCCAACTGTCACTTCACTCTCTTCAGTGCTTCCCTTGTCAGCCTTTCAAGAAAGCTTTAAACACAAAAACAACAATAAGAAAACCCACAGTGACTGTATAATTTATCACTCAATATCCACACACTTTTGAAAATAAAAAGGAGCTGTTATTCTGGGCAGCAAGTAGTTGTCTCAGGCAAACTGGGACATGTGGTCGCTCCACCTTTTCCAGTGGCAGAAGTCACTATCTTTGGTCTTGAAGGTCCAGGTCTCAAGCATCCTCGCAGAAGATGGCAGAAATAGCATGGAGCAGGGCTATCTCGGGATCTTTTCTCCCCAGGCCTGTCCACAAGGAGCCAGGTGTCAGGCAGCTTTCCTAAAAACACTGATGTGCTGTCCCCTCAAGGGGGATAGGTGTCCCAGGACCTGGCCTGTTGCTGTTGAGCCTGAGCTCCCATCCTGCTCTTTCCAGGAATGTTGCTCCCTGCCACAGCCTCTCTTTTTTTTTTGAGAGGGCATCTCTCATATTTATTGATCAAATGGTTGTTAACAACAATAAAATTCTGCATAGGGGACTCAATGCACAATCATCAATCAACCCCAAGCCTAATTCTCAATAGTCTCCAATCTTCTGAAGCATAACGAACAAGTTCTTACATGGTGAACAAGTTCTTACATAGTGAATAAGTTCTTACATGGTGAACAGTGCAAGGGCAGTCATCAGAGAAACTTTCAGTTTTGATCACGCATCATGAACTACAAACAATCAAGTCAGATATGATTATTTGATTTTTATACTTGATTTATATGTGAATCCCACATTTTTCCCTAATTATTATTTTTATTTTTTTTTAATAAAATGCCACAGCCTCTTTTTTGAGACACTACTTTTCCATTTTTGAATGATGTTATTTTATTCCTTTTAGAGACCAGATTTCATTTCTCTAGAGGAAGATCACCCAAATTTTATGCTCTAATATAATAAAAAGGATTCACCTAATGTGAATTTGGTTCTTAGCCTACTTTTCTGGATTACATCCATTCCTTTCAACTTGATATGAAGTTGAAATTGTGATCCATATGTCTTCTTCAGGTCTTTCTCAGTCCACCATGTGAATGGAAACAGTCATGGCAATGAAAGTGCCAGTTTTCCCATCATTTCCCTATTTAGACCTTATTTGTTGTTAACTTTAATGCAGTGATAAAAGTGCATATAAAGATACTACTCAGGCATGGCATTTACTACCCATGTAATTTCTGCTTAGGAAATGGGTTTAGAAACTTCTGGAACATTTTTTAAGTCATCTATTGTTAGCTCCACTGATGAGAGAGTCCCACTGACAGTATTATCAATGGAGGCAAAAGTTGAAATCCAATTACACATTTAACAGATTTATTTTCTGCTTACTTCTCTCTTTCCTTAGGGGTGTACCAGCTGTGGTTGACTTTGCTGCAATGCGTGATGCTGTGAAAAAGTTAGGAGGAGATCCAGAGAAAATAAACCCTATATGTCCTGCTGATCTTGTAATTGATCATTCCATCCAGGTTGATTTCAACAGAAGGTAAGAGATTAAGAGGATACTTGAGTTGTCTGCTTTGTGCAAAATCTTGGAGTGCCAGTCCTTTTTGTGTATGTATGTCATTAAATAAAAGAAGAGATCTTTAACAGGTATAATCAAGAGAGCTCAAACTTAACATAAATTTTCCATTGAAGAATTTTTTTGTGTGTGAGGGGTGAATTTAAAAAGTTTTCCTATTTATTTCTTGGGTGGGAGCAGCCAGTGTTTAAATCCAGTTTGAAGTGTGTGTAAAAAACATACACATAAATTTCTGCCATGAGTGTGCAGTACAAGTATGCACTCGACTTTAAACGAGTTTGGGTTTTTTTTAACCAGTGGAGATTCCTTTTTAGATCCCAAGTAACTATTTCATATCTGGCTGTCTCTGCTTCTCCATATGGGTTTCTATATGCTTATCCCTTTCTTTTTCTTTTTTTATTCTTACATTGTTTGGAATATCTGCTTCTTGCTTCCTACTAAACTCCTACCAATAACCCTAAAATAACATGGCAGTTGACAATAAGAATTTATTTCTTACACATCTGTAAACTGGTTGGGAAGTCAGTGACTTACGCTGAGTGCAGTTAGGCAGCTCTGCTTCATCCAGCTCTGGCTGGGCCGACTGCTTACACAGCACTGCACTTCTGCAGCACAGCTGGGACAGCTCCATTCCATGTGTGTTTCGTTGCGGGCCTGGCTATCTGGTGATCACAGAGGCTCAAGAGGAAAAGTGGGAACCCACAATATCTCGAGGCCTAGATCAAGACTGGCATAGGGTCACTTCTATTCATGTGACATTAATCAAAGTACGTCAAGCCCAAAGTCATTTCATCTTCTGCAGAATAGCTGTAAGATTATACAACAAGGGTTTGAATACAGGGAGGGCAACCAGGTATGGCTACAAGGATGGTATCTTAACCTAGATAACTAAATAAAATTATTATCAGTTATCAGTGGGAAAAGAAAGATTATGCATACAATGCTGGGAAAATTATTTGGCAAAGAAAGCAGTTCACATGAATTAAAGCATTAATATTTAAAAATCAAATCATCAAAAAATTTAGAAGAAAATTTAAGTATATATGTGTCAAGTGTTTTGATGACCTTTATAAATTTAACAATGAATGCCAAAAAGGGAAAAAAAATCTATAGATTTAATGACTTCAAAGTTAACAGAAAATTAGTTGAAAAACATTTGCAACAAATATGACCAAAGGGTTGCTATCCTTAATATAAAGACTGTGTATGATCCATTTTTATAAACAGTAAAACCAGGTAGATAAATGGGCAAAGGAAAGTAGACATTCACAATAAAAGGAAATGCAAATGGTAAACAGTTGATAAAGCTTTTTCAACCTTACAAATAATAAAAAACTAAATTTAATTCTTGAGATACCATTTTCTCATATAGTTAAGATTAGAAAAGTAACATTATTAATTATAAAGGTTTCATGAGAGAAACACTTTTATACACTGCAAATTAGAAATGATAAAAGCAATACTTAGTAAGTTCCTCAAAAATTGCCATATCCTTTGTCCTGGAAATTTCAATTCTAAGCATACCCTTCATAGATACCTGAAATTTATAATGACATACAGCTTAATGACTAAATGGCATTCATCAAAGTATTATTTATAATAATGAAAACCTAGATGCATTATAGATGTCCAACAAAGGCAAATGATTTATTAAATTATGGTACATCTTTAAAGTGAATTATTAGGTAATCTTTAAATATTTAAAATGTGCTTAATAACACTTGAAACATACTCATGTCTTAGTTCAATGAACCACATATAAATTGCATGTACAGAGTGAGCTCAGCTAGATGAAAAGATAAGCAGAGATTAAAAGTTGAGAAAGAGATACTAAGCTGCTAAGCAACTATCTTTAGGATTATAACTGTTCTCCATTTTTACAATAAGAAGCTATTAGTTTAAAAATAAAAACTCATCTAAGAATATGAGACAAACCATTCAGAGGGGAAAAAAACCCAAACCTTTTATTTGCTTCCCTGGGGATTTAAGTTGGTTCCATAGCCTCAAGAGAAATGTAGAAACTGGTCATTCTCAAATTAAAATTAATGTTGCCAAAATCCAACCCAGATAAATTCAGGATAAAGACAAATCTTTGTGCCCTGAAGTGACAGTTCTTGGAACCAAAAGACTGGATACTTGCTAGCTCTTCCCTTTCATTTGGACTGTAAACCTATCAGGCAACTTGTCTTTTTTTCTTCTTTAAATCACAAGGGCTCAATGTAATGTTTTGGTTTCAAAGGGAAGAGTTAAAAATATATACACAAAATGTTATCCTATTTGCAGATGAGGATATTTCCTAAATTCCCACTTCAGAAGTTATAAGGTATAAAAGGAGACTCTTTGGTATTGATTATTTACCTTCATTTTGCGGGCCTAGAAAATGAAAATATTGGTGGAGACAGAATTATAATTGTTTTAATGTCTAAAGTCTTTTGACTAAAATTCAAAGAGTTCCTGACTATTAAGCAGTTAATGAATCTAGATGATCACCAAATTCACTGTGATTTTTTTTTCCTCCTTAAACCTGGATATCCATCAACTCTGGTTTCTATTTTTTAAGGATTTTGTTCATTTATACTGTAGTACTGAAAACATTATTGTGAAAACAGCAAAGTCCAGAGGTGAAATGAACTCTGATCCAAATTGATTTCTAGCAAATGCTTTTTTTCTTCCTTTTTTCTTTTTGTATTTAAAGAGAACATTTCTATTGGAAGTGTTTTCATTGATGGTGTTTGTTTTTATTTCTCAAGTTTGGTTTTGCAATTTGACCTCTTAGTCTCTTTCTTCATTTTTTTGTAAGGAATTAAGTGTGATGTCTCAATCTTTGTGTCCTGTGGGCTTATTTTCTAGCTATTCCCAAAAATGAACTAGAAAAACTGAGTAAGAGGTGGTAGGATGGTAAGTTTTTTCAGTGAAGTATTTCTAAGCTCATTGCCCAGTTTAAATAAAATTGGCCTCACAATGTCTTTAGGAATTAAGGATTATTACTAACACATTATTAACTGACACATTGTTGTAATATTTAACAAAGTTATCTTAGAAATAGCCTTTTTAAAAATCCCCCCAAAAATGCCATAACAATTCCTGACCAGATTTCATTGAGTGTGAAAACTGTCTCCTCTGTAAATATTGTTTGTGAATTTCTGGAGTACTGTTAAATGTAGTACTCAGAAACTTTGATGTGCATTCAAATCTGAATTCAAATTAATGTAACTAGGGAAACATTTCCTCTTTAGATTGTGAGGCCAGTCACATTCAGAAACCTTACTAAAAACTCACCAGATTGGTGAATTTAGGAAAGTTCTGAGTGGTGGAAAAAAGCCAAATTCTAGGTCTGTTTATTCATTTCAATAATTAGAGCTAAGTAAATTGAGCAAAGGTTAGCACACAAGGTGTTTTGGTTTAATGAGTAAATCGTTTTTTTTTTACCTGGAATTAACATATCTTAAAACAGCCTAAACGTTTCTGGCTTCTGCTGTGAATATGTTCTTTACATCAAACTGATGTCCCCAGCATTCTCTGGGGTAAGTGTTCCCCTTCCAACCCTGCTCTGCTGTGAGAAGCTCTAACATCCTTCTGGTGCTGAAGGCAAAAGGACAAGGGATAATGACGGGGAACCCACAGAGCTCAGAGTACAGCAGAGATGGGGGCACCTGAGGCAGGGCCACATATGATCAAGAATAATGTTCCAAGATGACTTCTTTTTTTTTTTCCTAATTAAATCCCTCTAACAGGCCTGCTGTGTGCCAGTATTTATTCGAGAAACAGGTTAGTTTAGAAGAAGAGAGAGATTAGAGAATATACAACTTTAATGCAGCTGTTAAGTGTAGTAACCAGAGGAGGCAAATCATCTGGACGGGGGGCATAAGGAGGGCTCTTCCAGGAGTATCACTTGATCTGGATCCTGAAGGGTGTTTACCAAAGACAGAAGAGCTGGAAAAAGCATTTTTCACAGAAAGAACAGAGTGTGTAGAGAGATCTGAGGAAAGAGGTTTGGGAGGGGTATGAGGGCTACAGTGAAGATGAAGTTTAAGAAAGTTTTGGCTGGAAGATAGGAGGGCTTATACAGGAAGGCTGATTGAAGGACTTTGTTTTTTATGACAAGGGATTTCTACTTCATTTAGAAATTGTGAAGCCAGTGGCAGATGCAAGATGGACCATGATTTATATTTTATATTCTGGTGACGGTACAAAAGGGATGTTGACTAGCCTGACAGAGAAACCAGTTAGGGGGCTATTTCTGGAATAAGTACGTTGATAGCAGTAGGTACTCGGTGGGAGAAGAGGTCACTGAATGAAATGTGATCAGATGGGACAAGGACAAGACTTAGGAAAGAAGGACGTGCGTTAGGGTTTGACCTGTTGAGCTGCTGGTGCCTGAGGTATTCCCCATTCAGATGCCCAGGTCCACTGGGAATATGAACCTGACCTGAAGAGACAGGTGGATTTGGAGCAATGGAGCCCTTAGTGTACTAGTGAGAAGGTAGACCTGGAAGAATAGGGGCACCTGGTCCAAGGGCCCAGAGGGTCTGCTGATGCAGGGTCGGCAATGGTGTCCTGCCTTGGTCCTTGGTACCAAGGTCTCTGTTTCTTCCTTTTGCTTTTCTTTAACACACAGACAGACATTCATTCTTTATGTCAGGGATCAGCAATCTTTTTCTATAAGGGACCAATAATAAATAGGCTTTGCTGGCTACATATTCTCTCTATTCACATATTCTCCTTTCTTTTCAACCTATAAAATGTAAAAATTATTTTTTGCTTGAGGATCAAACATACAGGTATTAGGCCAGATTTGCCCATGGGCTATAGTTTGTGGACTCCTCTAAGGCACTCTCTGGGATTGATTCCATTAAAGCAGCTGACACTTAACCTTGAGAATATTCACTTCAAGAGAAGAAGAGAAAAATCAGCATGGTAACTGAAATGTGTGTTGCTGTTGTTGTTTTGTAGAGTAAAAAAAGTACTTCCTGTCTCTTTCTTCTCGAGAGGTGCCTACTGATTTTTACCTGGCTGACTACCCCCCATCCTTCAGACTACATTGATGTCATTCCTCTTCTGGAAGGCATTCCTGACCCCCATTCGAGTCTGTAGCCCTTTCTGGGTGCTCCTTTGGCACCCTGTATGTCCGAGTCATGACCTTGACAGTCTTGGCTCTTCCAGCTGCCTGGCTACTACTCTGTATAGTCTTCAGGTTTGGTCCACCAAGTGGGCACTGCTCATGGTGCTTCTGCACCGCACTCCCAACATATGGCCCAGGTGGGTTCTGTAGATCATTAGTACATGTAGGTACCTGGAGGATGAGAAGTACAGTGTTTAGGTAGAGGCCTGGGGCCATCAGTCCTGAGGTCAAATGACAGCTCTGTAACTGACAAGCATCCCACCTTGACAAGTTATCTAACCATTGTTACGATGATTGAAGGAGTTCAGGCATGTAAAGCATTTAAAACCTCTGACATAATCTTGCCCTTTAGCTCCTTCTGTTATTACTGTGGTGGTGGTGATTACAGTTCCGTAACTCTACTGCAGGGATGCAGCGTGGATTTAGAGCACCGACAGTGGAGTCAGACTGCCTGGGATTCACTTGCAGTTCATTTACTAGCTCTGTGGTCCTGAGCAACTTTCTTAATCTCTCTGTGTCTCAGTTTCCTCTTTTGAAAAATGTGGGTGTTAATGATATCTAATCAAAGGGTTATTATGAAGACTAGATGAGAAAATAAATGTAAAGCATTTAGAATAGTGGCTGCTTCCTAGTAATGACAGTAAGTGTTAACTATTAATTTGGAGTCTGATTTGGATCTTAGTTATTAATTTTACTATCTTTTCCTATGTTTTCTCAATCCATGATATATAATTTAGGAGTATCTTTTTGTGCCCAACCTACAAAGTTGTGACTAAGACTTATTCTACCTCAACTCAAAACAATGAAGCTTGATTACAAAAATCCTGGACAAACTTCTCGATGCCCTGGCTTGCCTGTGTCATTCCTGAGGGACTGAATGACTTTGGGTAAACCTCAGAATATAATCTATGCTTTGTAGATGTTCTTAGGTGGCACTGTTATCATAAACCTCTGTCTGAGAAGTAAGAGATTGTGATTCTATAAGTGCTGTTACTTCCTGGCATCACTGGTTCCCTGTCTGCCAACACAAACAGATGAAAGTGGCAGCCCAGACGTGGCTCAGCGCAGAGAGCTGTTATAGCAAGGTCAAGGATGAGAAAGGAGGACAGAAACAAGGGTTCATTAAATATCTAAACTGTTCTTGTCATCTAAATATCTCAAGTCTGTTCCTAAGAATCAGACTTTATGATTGGTTTAGTTTTATCTTGAATTCATGCAATTGGTTCTACTCACATGTTTAAAGACATTGGAATCACCTGAACAAAATAAACATTATCCTTTTTAAAAAGCTTTTGCTACCTACCTCCCCTTTCCCATGTGAATGAATGCATCAGTACTGTCCAGCAAGCCTGCAGGTGAAACTGCCATGTTATTCATCACCAACAGATTTGACCAGTAATAATATTTTAAGCCTTAAAACTTATACATGTAGTTTTTCTCTCTGACAGGGCAGACAGTTTACAGAAGAATCAAGACCTGGAATTTGAAAGAAATAGAGAACGATTTGAATTTCTAAAGGTATGGGCAGAGTTTGGTTCCACTGCTTGGCTTTTTGCACACGTGGGGTACAAGGGAGAAGTGCCAAGGAGACGGGCTGCATAAGAGTGTGTGAGGCACTCATAGCGTTCCTTGCATTTTTCAATCCTAGTGGGGTTCTCAGGCTTTTCGCAACATGCGGATTATTCCCCCTGGCTCAGGAATCATCCACCAGGTGAATCTGGAGTATTTGGCAAGAGTGGTGTTTGATCAGGATGGATATTATTATCCAGACAGCCTCGTGGGCACGGACTCGCACACTACCATGATTGACGGTTTGGGGGTCCTTGGCTGGGGTGAGTGTTCTTCCAGGTTCCCTTCCCACATGGCCTGTTCTGTGGTACACACTTAGTTTACTTTGATACCATTACATCCCAGTAGCATTAATTTGAATGATCACAAGAAATGGAGAGGTATTTCTGTTTTGTTTACTGCTATCTTTTCCAGTGCCCAGAAAAGTACCTGATGCCTAGCAGGCAAGAACAACATTCAGAAGAATGAACTGGAAAGGGGTTACGGACATTTAGAATAAATGAAAATCACCTGAGGTTTTTGTTAAAAATGGAGACTTCTGACCCCACTCTTCACTTTGATAGAATCACAGGCAGTTTGATACAGGTGGTTGGGGGACCACACTTTCAGAAACACTTGCTTAAAATTCTGTAGAAGGAAATAGAGAAAAGATAGCTGCTTTTTATAGAAACTCAACTCTGTACTAGTAAAACATTGTAACTGGGTTGATTACCTGTTGATGACATTGAGTTAAGCCTGAGGGTCACAGGAGGAATGAAAGCCTCATTCTGCCGTGCCATTCTTTGCAGGTGTGGGTGGTATTGAAGCAGAAGCTGTCATGCTGGGCCAGCCAATCAGCATGGTGCTTCCCCAGGTGATTGGCTACAGGCTCCTGGGGAATCCCTGCCCTCTGGTGACATCCACCGACATCGTGCTAACCATCACCAAGGTAACGAGGGCTCCCTGTCTCCTCACGGGCTTTGAAAGTCACAGTGACCGACAGGAGGGAATACATGATGGAGCCCTCTGGGTTTCTGTGTGCTCTGGAAGTTCTAGGAAACAGCCTGTTGATGATTTAAAAAAGAGATAAGAGGAGTTAAACTTTAGATAATTATGTTCATATTACTCTTCTGTTGCTGCATGGGTCCTTTTAAAAAAAGTTTTTGACATTTTGATATAGTTCAAATACACACAAGTTAAAATGACATTCATACATCCACCACCAAGACTTAGCAGATGGTACAGTTTGTGTATTTGCCTCAGAGCTCTCTGGGTATGGATATTTTTGAAGAAATAAAATGGAATATTTATGGCTGAAGCCATCCTCCTCATTCCTAGAAGTAATCACTATCCTGAGGTGGTAGGAATTCACTCCTATATGTTTATACTTTTATTACATATATTCTACATGGTTCTTTATATGTAAATAACAACCCTCTTCTATGAATAGTGTTTGACTTTTTTTGTTCCCTTCTCTGTATTAGAAGTTACATTATTGCAACCGATGTTTCTCTAAGCTGGAAAATATTACTCTTTTCTTTTTCTATAGCTTTGGTAGGAAATAATCTTTTTTGTGTGATTTGCTTGCTTTGCGAAAAGGCAGTTTCATTTTAAAGTTTGTTAGAGTGGTAATTTGTCTATTATCACAAACATTTTTTCTTGTATTGCTTGGAGGCTTGTTTTAGATGGACACTATACAGTTAAAGTGAAAAATGTTTTTTATTGATTTATATGGAATTCAGAATTGGATTTATTTGAACACTATAGTTTATCATAGATGTCTGTGTATCATTCTTCAAATGTGGAATAATGTAGGGCTTGCCCATAAAATTTGGCAGAATCCCACATAACCAAAATAACCTGTCTGTGAGGCTGTCCTCAGTTCATGAAATTGGCTTCATGCAGGGCCCGGTCAGTCACTGAGGCCCAGCCCTGGCTGATGGCTTGTATGGAAGAGATATGAGAGTCACACTGTCTGAATCTTTTGGTTACATTTGACTTGTAGCTGTGTTCAGGAAATATGTTCATTATATCCTTGAAAATAAGCCATTTACTTACTTACTTACTAGTACAAGTCATAGTTTAATTTGGTTGAAAGAATTTATTTAGTTTTTAGCACTTCCAAGTGCTAAATTCCAGGCACGTCTAAGTGATCTCACTGGAGAGAAAGAATGTTTCTCATTTTGAAAAACAATGTTTTTCAAACATTAATGTTGTTATTTGTATTTCTGGCATCACTTTTCATTTTTTTTGGTAACAACTATTACAGCATAATTTTAGATTTACAGGAAAGTTGATGTAAAAATAATAGAGTTCCTCTTACTTTCCTCCCAGCTTCCCCCCATCTTACATAAACATGGTACATTTATCAAAATGAAGAAGTTAACATTGACATAACACTATTAACAAAACTAGAAACTAAACCAGATTTTTCAATCATGACCACTTTCCAGGATCGAACCCAGGATTCTACATTGTATCTAGTTACCTTTATTTTTAAAATAATGAGAAATATGTTGGGCTAATTGATCATGTCTACTCACAAACCTATTTAAAAGAATTGCAAGGTGATAGTCCTTTCAAATATGAACTATCAAGTCAAACTTTTCTGTTCTGCTGCTTAGCACCTCCGCCAGGTTGGGGTAGTGGGCAAATTTGTCGAGTTCTTCGGGCCTGGAGTAGCCCAGTTGTCTATTGCTGACCGAGCTACGATTGCGAACATGTGTCCAGAATATGGAGCAACTGCTGCCTTTTTCCCAGTTGATGAAGTTAGTATCAAGTACCTGGTGCAGACAGGTAAGTACAGAACCAGGAAAGCAGAAGTCCTTTGTAAAGTTTTACAGAATTCTGAGATTTGGAGCACCACTTTCTGCTCTGCCCCTTGCAGGACACTGGGTCACATATATCATTTTTTCTTCTCTTTGCACAGTCAAAATGGTCGTTGGGATTTCAGTAGATAAGAGGTAGACATGCTGTGGCCAGTAGCAAAAACTCAGGTACTCTAGAAGCCTAGATATGCTGGTCTTCTACTACTAGTTATTTGACTTGAAACAAGTGATCTTAGTAAAGGTAGCTACTGTCTCTGAGGCATCTACCGTGTGCCAGGCACTTGGAGTGCATTTGCTCTCATCCCCTTCACAGATATGTAGGGTAGATTGATTGATTAGTAAATTAACTAACAGGAGAAGAAGGTAAATATCCAAAGCTAATAAATAACGGAGCTTGAATCCACTGAGGCTGCCCGGCTCCAAACAGGGACGGCACTCCTTGCCACCCCTCTCGGGGCCATCCAAAAGGTAACATGAAAGACTGCATTTGAAAGCATTTTGAACTGTCAGCAGTTCTTTAACTCTATAGGTATCTGTTTAGAAATTTGACTTTAACTTTGAGAAAGGTGTTTTTAATTTCTCAAGTTTATTGGTAAAATATTCATTCTGCATTCATTTAACACATTATTGCATCTGGCCTAGGTCCCAGAGGTACAAGAGCAAACAAGATAAAGCCCTGCCCTCATGGGGACTTACATTCCAGTGAAGGAGGCAGAAATAAACAAGCAAACAAATAAGTACATATGTATGTGATATATTTATAAGATAATCAGGAGGAAAGCAGGAGAGCTGGTTAAAGCAGCCCAAGGGTGTTAATTTTACATGTAAGAAGGTCAGTGAGGGGCTGTTGGAAGTGAAATTTGAAGAGACATCTGAGTGAGGTGGGGAATAGGCCACAGAAAGGGGTGCAGGAGCTGTTTTCCAGGCAGAGGAAGCGACAAGCGCAAAGGCCAAAGACAGAGACGGGCTCGTTGTGTTCAGAGGACAGCAGAGGGGCCTGTGGGACTGGAGGCCAGGGTTGAGGCCGCGGGAAATGAGGTTGGGGTGGGCAGGCAGGGGCCAGATCCACACAGGAGCTTGCAGACTTTGGTGGTCAGTTAGGATTTTATTTTAAATATTGTAGGAAGCCACTGAGTCATTTTGAACAAGAAGGTAACATGAAATATTCTATTTTTAATACCTCATTCTATGTGACAAAGATGGAAGGAACCTTTTATTTTGCTAAATGACTTTTAAAATTATAACCAAGTTATTAAGGAGAGAAGAAAAGACAAACTTGGGCCTTTTCATCCATATGCAGTGTTTACTATGGAAGGGCCCAGTGGCTGGTGTTTCTCTTGAGACATCACAAATAGCCAGCATTGAAGGTAAAGGCTGAGCCAAGATATTTTGGCAAAACTGGGAAGGGCGGGCAAATGCACATCTCCTCTATTAAGGTTTTAATACAAATCTTACAGACGCCAAGTCAATCCAAGCCTTCTCCCTAGTTTTTCTGAGGGGGAACCCTCTGGAAGTAGTTAAGATTGTGATGAAAAGTTAATTTTTTAAAATATCTTTATTAAATATAAGTTGATTAATTGATACCTCCTTTGCTTCCCAAAGGATTTGAAGTGAAAAATATGTAGAAATAAATGAATAGAAGTGTTGACGGAGTTATCTGAAGAGAAGGGAAGGGATGGTGGAGCTGGAAAGGGGGGAAAGCTACAAAATATATCCAGAGATAAGATTAGTTTCTGTGACTCTTAACTTCTTAGTGGCCTGGTACCAAATTTGTATTATCTGTTGAATTGAAAACAAGCATTGCTTCAGAGAAATAGAACCCTTTCCTATACTGAAACGAGGAGAAATTGCTGCCATGCACCTTCATGAAGAGAATGGCATGTGATGTAATGAACAGTGGGATCAATAACAGGTCCTAATAAATAAGTTAATGTAGCTCAGATAGACAGTCATTTTTTATAAGGTCCATGCTGAAAGCTGAAGACCTTTACAACTGAGTTAAAACAACCAGGCAAATAAAAATGCTGATCTGTTGTCGGTCTAAGAATCAAGCTCTCAAACAGTCTTCCTTAGCTGTCAGAGGAATGAGCGGGCTGCATGGCCATTGGGTAGACTTTGTTTTATCTCCTAGGACTAGGGGCCAGAGAAGAATGACCCAGCAATAATTCAGGGTCGTAGTCCTGGTGAAAGAACATTTTGAGTTAAGACTTTGGGCTTTGGGGTCAAACTCAGGTTCGGATCCTGGCTCTGAGCCATGGGAGGATTAATTAATCTTCTTGAGTCACCATTTCCTCGTCTGTGAATGAGAGTAATAACAGCACTTGTCTCATAAGGTCAAGGAGTAGAGACTGAGCTAATTCATGTAAATCATTTAGCACATAGTGCCAGGCACAGAGAAGTGCTCATAGCTGGTGGGCAGTGGGGGAAGACTGGGAGGATTATTGTTTTAACCAGACTAATGAGGAATGCCGAGAATCTGTGGCCAGCTGAAGGCACGTGCATGGGTATGCTCTGACAATTAGCTAAAATCAAAGAGAGAGGGCATACTTCCAGGAGAACCAGAAACTTCTTCAGAAAACAGTCATTTTGGTAGGAGCAACATATTAGTTAATGATCTCTAGTAAACAGCAGCATCGACTAGAGAGTCAGACAATTAGCCTCAAAGCTGAAATATTGGCAGAGCTTTTGGTGCGTGTGTAAGTGAAACACATCTTACTTGTAGAGCTGCTGGCAGAGGCATTAATTTAACCCATAAATATTAACCTGTGTTCCTGGTTACTTCTTAAAATGCCCATTTAGGTCGTGATAAAGAAAAAATAAAGCATATAAAAAGGTATCTTCAGGCTGTAGGAATGTTTCGGGATTTCAGTGACCCCTCTCAAGACCCAGACTTTGCCCAGGTATGAGAGTGCCTCCCACTGAATGTGTATTTCCTCTTCCTCAAGGCTGTAACTGTAGTTATGTATGTTTTTTCTTGGGGGGATGGACTTGTAGGAAATAAATCACTGCAGAGGAAAACTGTGTTAAAAGGCTGAAAATTTTTTAAAATAAGGAATTGTAAACATAACAAAATAATAAAACTTTTTCCATTCCTCCTAGCCATTAGGTTGAGTGTGCTCCCCCTTTGTGAACTACTAAACTACTCTTATGTGGAAGACCTTTGAAGGGCTTCACTAGAAGGAGCAGAGCTGCACAATAGTTCCTTATTGTGGTTGGGGAAAGAGGAATGCACACTGTAGCTTTGATCTATCCAATGACGTATACTTAATTCATCCATTTGCTACAGTGCCACCCCAGTCTTTCTGAGAGGTGGCAAGGCTTCCTGCCTGTCCCACACTACCAAAGTGCCCATCTTGATCTTTGTAAATTCATCCCTTGACTGTTAAAATGAACTCTGACTTCCATGTTTCTGAATGTGGTGGTTTAGTTTATTTTTATGGTTGTGGTGTTTTAAAATCTCTGGCATGGCTTGTGTTTCTTCTTTGTGGGTACAATGTAAGTCCTACTGATCTTTTTCTTTTGGGTGGACAGGTCGTGGAATTAGATTTGAAAACAGTAGTGCCCTGCTGCAGTGGACCCAAAAGGCCTCAGGACAAAGTCGCTGTGTCTGACATGAAAAAGGACTTTGAGAGCTGCCTTGGAGCCACGGTAGGGGACCTGAGAGGGGCAGGTGGAAATCTTCCCGGGCCCTGCCCCACACCTGGTTTCTGAGGCCTGGCTCTGAGGATATTTCTTCTCCATCCTGAAGTCCTTAACACCTCTCCCACTAGCTAAGAGCCAAGCATCTTCCTTAGAGGACTTGTCCTCTGTAAACACACATCTTTTTAAAGGCGTATCTGCTTCTCATAGACAGTCGTTGCACTGTTCCCTCTGCTTGCCTGAGGTTTGCCAGCCATCACCCCCTGCCTGCGTGTCTTTCTCATCTCTGCGTGTCTGTCAGTTCCTCCACAACGTGGCCTCAGGTCTCATAGCAGAAGGGCATCTTTCGCTCATTTGAACCTTCATGGCACTTGGTCTGAAATCTTTTGATGACATCCTGTATTCTTGAATGTAAATTGTTGGTACTTTACATTATTTACATGTCTGATTTCCTTTACACTTGGGGAGACTGTATGTTTGAGGATAGGATCTTTGTCATAATAGCCTTTGTATCCCACAAAATACCTAGCGTAACATCTTTTTCACAGTAGATTTTCAGTGAACATATACCAAATGAGTAAAGTAAGATGGATTTTATCCTTGGGACACCAGCATTATGCCAGATGTTTGCTGTACTTTGTCTTATTGATCATGATGAGTTGAATCTGGCCAAAATGGCACCTTTTTCTAAACTTCCATCATTTAGAATCAGTAGCCTCAGTCCAGACCCATTACACTCTATAATAATGTCATTGAGTTCTAATTAGACTAACTTTGAATTAAATTTGTAGTTCTAGTGTGTCCATTTTTGAGGTGGGAAGGAAGTAATTGTTAATAAATTTAAAGTAGAGTAAAATTCAGAAATCATAGGTAGCTTTTATAAAGATTTAAGAATAATGAGAACTTTAATTTTTCTGTAGCACTTCAGAATTTACTGGCCAAGATACTTGTTTTGTTAAGAATAGGCCTTTAAAATTATAGCTGCCAAAGTATTTCTTCCACAGAACTTTTTATTATATATATATGTTTTTTCCTTCTGTAGCAAGGGTTTAAAGGATTCCAAGTTGCTCCAGACCGTCGTGACGACCATAAGACATTTATCTATAATAACAGCAAATTCACCCTTGCTCATGGTTCTGTGGTAATTGCTGCTATTACTAGCTGTACAAACACGAGTAATCCATCTGTAATGTTAGGAGCAGGTAAGTGCATTTGAATCCTTCCACATGGTCAAATGAATTTGTGGGTGGAAATCTTAAGACATGGGCTTAGCTGAGTTCTACATGTAGTTCCCTAAACCTTTTATTTTCCTGATGCAGGAATTTATCAGCCCAGAAATGTTTACACAATAGTGTCCAAAGTACTATACACAATAAATAGTGTCCAAAGTACTAGAAGAAAAAAACTGCTTTCACAGACTGTTCTCTGTAAACAGTAGGCCTTTTTGTCCAGTGGAGTTTCATCTGTCTTAAATTTATTGTCAAGTGCATCTGAATCAGGGCATGGGGTACTCGCTGGTTGACAAAACTCACCTGCCTATTACATAATTCTGGTTGAGCAGTTAATATTTATATGCAAAGTTTCATTAGCATAAGGTCTCTTTAGTTTCTACTTTTTTATCATCCCCAAGAGTTCCTCTTGTCCAAAGAGACAAAGAGTATCAGCAGTTCTTTATGAAGTGGGCCACTGTTCTTTGTCCAAGAATTCACCTGTTGTCATCAAAGCTTTTCTTGTCTGGAGCAAACCATTATTCCTTAAGACAAGTCACCAGCTTGACTGTAGCTGTTTATCTCTTTATACCTCTACTCTTCATTTCATTCCTACTTCATGATATGTCTAAGACAGAGCACCCAGTGTCCCTGTAGTTGTCTCTGAATTTGCTGAAAGTCCAATGGCCCAGAAGCTCTTCATCTTCCACTTGAAGAAATATCTCAAGACTAGATTTTGATTTCTAGATGGACTGTATTCCTCTCAACCAGTACAAAATGAATATACTTTAAGAAAGGCCCCTTCCAGTTATGATTTTCATCCAAATAAAACATAATTAGAAAGATCACTTTACCTCCAAAAGTAAAAACTCACTCTTATTCCTAAATAGTTCAGGTTTAGCTCTTTAAAAAAGAGGGAGTGAAAGGTGTGGGGGCACATTTCTTCCTTCATTCTTCATCCCATGACTAATTTGGGTTTACGACATCCACGTCAATTGACTTTGATTCGTGTCAGTGAGCCTATGATTTCTGTTAGGCAGCAGAAATAGCAGAAAGCACCAACATGAATGGGGCTTTGTCAGACAGTGGCAAGAAATACAGACGGAAAAGTCATTCTTTTTCCTGAACTGTCCCTGGCACCAAGAGTAGGTGGCCACCCGCACCAGGTCTGTGTTTTCCATTTCACAGGATTGTTAGCAAAGAAAGCTGTGGATGCTGGTCTGAGCGTGAAACCTTACATCAAAACCAGCCTGTCTCCTGGGAGTGGTGTGGTCACCTACTACCTGCGAGAAAGCGGAGTCATGCCTTATTTGTCTCAGCTTGGGTGAGGAAGAGTTGTCTTTTACACCATTGCTTTTGTTGTATTTTATTCCACACATATCTTGCTATATCACCTTGTGATGCAAGTAAGCTTACCTGATGATATCTAATTGCATAGTCTTGCCAGATGGTAAACAGACTTACACCCTTACATTCTAGCAGCAGGGGCTGTGGACAGCTGTGATGGTTATTCATCATATGAGGGTGTCTGACAGCAGAGCAGGGGCTGAAATCAGCCTTTGCCTCGATGTGGTGCACATCCTTCTGGAGGAGGGGGCGCCTTTTCTCTGTTACTCAGAGGTATGCTATGGGCTGGCATTGGCTCTGCAACTGAGATATTGGCCCTTTGGTATGAAAATAATTCTTAATAGCTAAATATGTTCTAATTCCTTGAAGTAAATTAGTTATTTGTTGCCAAATACAGTTTCTCCAATTTCCCCAGTAGTCCTAATTTGGACAACATAGACTTTATTCGTGTGCCTCATAAAAGCCAAAATCCTTGGGATTATATAATAAAAGTAGTGAATAGAGATATTAAGTGGCATATCAGATTTCAACTTTTAAAAAGTCTAGGTGATTCAATTAGATTCCTTTTTATAATTTTCTCAAAAGTTTTAATTTTAATAATTCTCTCAAAATTTTTGAGTAGATTATAAAAAGGAGTCTATGGGACGATTTAGAATGGATGACTAGTATCGCAAGAGGCTCCCAAGAATGAAAGCTTTATAGGGGCAGCACTGTGCTAAACAGGTACAGTCTCTGCGAACTGCGACCAGTAGAGGGGCTCACTGACAATTACTGTCTGTCCTCTGCTTCACTTCCGGCACCTAGGTTTGATGTGGTGGGCTATGGCTGCATGACCTGCATTGGCAACAGCGGGCCCTTACCTGAATCTGTGGTAGAAGCCATCACGCAGGTAATCATAGAGATGGGTAGACTTTGTTTTATCTCCTAGGACTAGGGGCCAGAGAAGAATGACCCAGCAATAATTCAGGGTCGTAGTCCTGGTGAAAGAACATTTTGAGTTAAGACTTTGGGCTTTGGGGTCAAACTCAGGTTCGGATCCTGGCTCTGAGCCATGGGAGGATTAATTAATCTTCTTGAGTCACCATTTCCTCATCTGTGAATGAGAGTAATAACAGCACTTGTCTCATAAGGTCAAGGAGTAGAGACTGAGCTAATTCATGTAAATCATTTAGCACATAGTGCCAGGCACAGAGAAGTGCTCATAGCTGGTGGGCAGTGGGGGAAGACTGGGAGGATTATTGTTTTAACCAGACTAATGAGGAATGCCGAGAATCTGTGGCCAGCTGAAGGCACGTGCATGGGTATGCTCTGACAATTAGCTAAAATCAAAGAGAGAGGGCATACTTCCAGGAGAACCAGAAACTTCTTCAGAAAACAGTCATTTTGGTAGGAGCAACATATTAGTTAATGATCTCTAGTAAACAGCAGCATCGACTAGAGAGTCAGACAATTAGCCTCAAAGCTGAAATATTGGCAGAGCTTTTGGTGCGTGTGTAAGTGAAACACATCTTACTTGTAGAGCTGCTGGCAGAGGCATTAATTTAACCCATAAATATTAACCTGTGTTCCTGGTTACTTCTTAAAATGCCCATTTAGGTCGTGATAAAGAAAAAATAAAGCATATAAAAAGGTATCTTCAGGCTGTAGGAATGTTTCGGGATTTCAGTGACCCCTCTCAAGACCCAGACTTTGCCCAGGTATGAGAGTGCCTCCCACTGAATGTGTATTTCCTCTTCCTCAAGGCTGTAACTGTAGTTATGTATGTTTTTTCTTGGGGGGATGGACTTGTAGGAAATAAATCACTGCAGAGGAAAACTGTGTTAAAAGGCTGAAAATTTTTTAAAATAAGGAATTGTAAACATAACAAAATAATAAAACTTTTTCCATTCCTCCTAGCCATTAGGTTGAGTGTGCTCCCCCTTTGTGAACTACTAAACTACTCTTATGTGGAAGACCTTTGAAGGGCTTCACTAGAAGGAGCAGAGCTGCACAATAGTTCCTTATTGTGGTTGGGGAAAGAGGAATGCACACTGTAGCTTTGATCTATCCAATGACGTATACTTAATTCATCCATTTGCTACAGTGCCACCCCAGTCTTTCTGAGAGGTGGCAAGGCTTCCTGCCTGTCCCACACTACCAAAGTGCCCATCTTGATCTTTGTAAATTCATCCCTTGACTGTTAAAATGAACTCTGACTTCCATGTTTCTGAATGTGGTGGTTTAGTTTATTTTTATGGTTGTGGTGTTTTAAAATCTCTGGCATGGCTTGTGTTTCTTCTTTGTGGGTACAATGTAAGTCCTACTGATCTTTTTCTTTTGGGTGGACAGGTCGTGGAATTAGATTTGAAAACAGTAGTGCCCTGCTGCAGTGGACCCAAAAGGCCTCAGGACAAAGTCGCTGTGTCTGACATGAAAAAGGACTTTGAGAGCTGCCTTGGAGCCACGGTAGGGGACCTGAGAGGGGCAGGTGGAAATCTTCCCGGGCCCTGCCCCACACCTGGTTTCTGAGGCCTGGCTCTGAGGATATTTCTTCTCCATCCTGAAGTCCTTAACACCTCTCCCACTAGCTAAGAGCCAAGCATCTTCCTTAGAGGACTTGTCCTCTGTAAACACACATCTTTTTAAAGGCGTATCTGCTTCTCATAGACAGTCGTTGCACTGTTCCCTCTGCTTGCCTGAGGTTTGCCAGCCATCACCCCCTGCCTGCGTGTCTTTCCCATCTCTGCGTGTCTGTCAGTTCCTCCACAACGTGGCCTCAGGTCTCATAGCAGAAGGGCATCTTTCGCTCATTTGAACCTTCATGGCACTTGGTCTGAAATCTTTTGATGACATCCTGTATTCTTGAACGTAAATTGTTGGTACTTTACATTATTTACATGTCTGATTTCCTTTACACTTGGGGAGACTGTATGTTTGAGGATAGGATCTTTGTCATAATAGCCTTTGTATCCCACAAAATACCTAGCGTAACATCTTTTTCACAGTAGATTTTCAGTGAACATATACCAAATGAGTAAAGTAAGATGGATTTTATCCTTGGGACACCAGCATTATGCCAGATGTTTGCTGTACTTTGTCTTATTGATCATGATGAGTTGAATCTGGCCAAAATGGCACCTTTTTCTAAACTTCCATCATTTAGAATCAGTAGCCTCAGTCCAGACCCATTACACTCTATAATAATGTCATTGAGTTCTAATTAGACTAACTTTGAACTAAATTTGTAGTTCTAGTGTGTCCATTTTTGAGGTGGGAAGGAAGTAATTGTTAATAAATTTAAAGTAGAGTAAAATTCAGAAATCATAGGTAGCTTTTATAAAGATTTAAGAATAATGAGAACTTTAATTTTTCTGTAGCACTTCAGAATTTACTGGCCAAGATACTTGTTTTGTTAAGAATAGGCCTTTAAAATTATAGCTGCCAAAGTATTTCTTCCACAGAACTTTTTATTATATATATATGTTTTTTCCTTCTGTAGCAAGGGTTTAAAGGATTCCAAGTTGCTCCAGACCGTCGTGACGACCATAAGACATTTATCTATAATAACAGCAAATTCACCCTTGCTCATGGTTCTGTGGTAATTGCTGCTATTACTAGCTGTACAAACACGAGTAATCCATCTGTAATGTTAGGAGCAGGTAAGTGCATTTGAATCCTTCCACATGGTCAAATGAATTTGTGGGTGGAAATCTTAAGACATGGGCTTAGCTGAGTTCTACATGTAGTTCCCTAAACCTTTTATTTTCCTGATGCAGGAATTTATCAGCCCAGAAATGTTTACACAATAGTGTCCAAAGTACTATACACAATAAATAGTGTCCAAAGTACTAGAAGAAAAAAACTGCTTTCACAGACTGTTCTCTGTAAACAGTAGGCCTTTTTGTCCAGTGGAGTTTCATCTGTCTTAAATTTATTGTCAAGTGCATCTGAATCAGGGCATGGGGTACTCGCTGGTTGACAAAACTCACCTGCCTATTACATAATTCTGGTTGAGCAGTTAATATTTATATGCAAAGTTTCATTAGCATAAGGTCTCTTTAGTTTCTACTTTTTTATCATCCCCAAGAGTTCCTCTTGTCCAAAGAGACAAAGAGTATCAGCAGTTCTTTATGAAGTGGGCCACTGTTCTTTGTCCAAGAATTCACCTGTTGTCATCAAAGCTTTTCTTGTCTGGAGCAAACCATTATTCCTTAAGACAAGTCACCAGCTTGACTGTAGCTGTTTATCTCTTTATACCTCTACTCTTCATTTCATTCCTACTTCATGATATGTCTAAGACAGAGCACCCAGTGTCCCTGTAGTTGTCTCTGAATTTGCTGAAAGTCCAATGGCCCAGAAGCTCTTCATCTTCCACTTGAAGAAATATCTCAAGACTAGATTTTGATTTCTAGATGGACTGTATTCCTCTCAACCAGTACAAAATGAATATACTTTAAGAAAGGCCCCTTCCAGTTATGATTTTCATCCAAATAAAACATAATTAGAAAGATCACTTTACCTCCAAAAGTAAAAACTCACTCTTATTCCTAAATAGTTCAGGTTTAGCTCTTTAAAAAAGAGGGAGTGAAAGGTGTGGGGGCACATTTCTTCCTTCATTCTTCATCCCATGACTAATTTGGGTTTACGACATCCACGTCAATTGACTTTGATTCGTGTCAGTGAGCCTATGATTTCTGTTAGGCAGCAGAAATAGCAGAAAGCACCAACATGAATGGGGCTTTGTCAGACAGTGGCAAGAAATACAGACGGAAAAGTCATTCTTTTTCCTGAACTGTCCCTGGCACCAAGAGTAGGTGGCCACCCGCACCAGGTCTGTGTTTTCCATTTCACAGGATTGTTAGCAAAGAAAGCTGTGGATGCTGGTCTGAGCGTGAAACCTTACATCAAAACCAGCCTGTCTCCTGGGAGTGGTGTGGTCACCTACTACCTGCGAGAAAGCGGAGTCATGCCTTATTTGTCTCAGCTTGGGTGAGGAAGAGTTGTCTTTTACACCATTGCTTTTGTTGTATTTTATTCCACACATATCTTGCTATATCACCTTGTGATGCAAGTAAGCTTACCTGATGATATCTAATTGCATAGTCTTGCCAGATGGTAAACAGACTTACACCCTTACATTCTAGCAGCAGGGGCTGTGGACAGCTGTGATGGTTATTCATCATATGAGGGTGTCTGACAGCAGAGCAGGGGCTGAAATCAGCCTTTGCCTCGATGTGGTGCACATCCTTCTGGAGGAGGGGGCGCCTTTTCTCTGTTACTCAGAGGTATGCTATGGGCTGGCATTGGCTCTGCAACTGAGATATTGGCCCTTTGGTATGAAAATAATTCTTAATAGCTAAATATGTTCTAATTCCTTGAAGTAAATTAGTTATTTGTTGCCAAATACAGTTTCTCCAATTTCCCCAGTAGTCCTAATTTGGACAACATAGACTTTATTCGTGTGCCTCATAAAAGCCAAAATCCTTGGGATTATATAATAAAAGTAGTGAATAGAGATATTAAGTGGCATATCAGATTTCAACTTTTAAAAAGTCTAGGTGATTCAATTAGATTCCTTTTTATAATTTTCTCAAAAGTTTTAATTTTAATAATTCTCTCAAAATTTTTGAGTAGATTATAAAAAGGAGTCTATGGGACGATTTAGAATGGATGACTAGTATCGCAAGAGGCTCCCAAGAATGAAAGCTTTATAGGGGCAGCACTGTGCTAAACAGGTACAGTCTCTGGGAACTGCGACCAGTAGAGGGGCTCACTGACAATTACTGTCTGTCCTCTGCTTCACTTCCGGCACCTAGGTTTGATGTGGTGGGCTATGGCTGCATGACCTGCATTGGCAACAGCGGGCCCTTACCTGAATCTGTGGTAGAAGCCATCACGCAGGTAATCATAGAGGAGCCTGTTGGTCTTCAGAGCAGGTGTCTCTTTTCACATGATGTGTGACCAAAATGCTGGTAATTTAAGCAAGTCCAGGGAAGCAGAGGGTGTGGTTACAGGTATAGTCTTTGGAGTCAAGCTAAAATTACTAGCTGTTAGGCAAGTTAATTAACCTCTCCATGCCTCAGTTTTCACAACTAAATTGGAGATAATAATAGGGCATGTTCCATGGAGTTGTGAGCATTGAGATGGTAATAGACGTAAAAGACTCTGTGTGGTGCCTGCACAGAAATGCTCAGTAAATGCTTATTTTCACTAGGGGGCTGCAGAAAGGTTTGTTCCAGTTAATATGAAAACAGTTTCACAGCCAGACAGGTCTCCAGACAAATTAATCAAAACTGCATTGCATTGGCTTGATTTTTGTTCCATAAATTTTGTAGCATTGAGAAATACAGTCTGGTTTGCTTTGCATGAACTACAGTCTGTATGTGTCAGTGTAGCTTCCTTTAGCTTTAGGCTTTGAGTCTTTCCCACCTGTTCTTAGGCCCAGCCAGCTAAATAACCAAAATGTTTCCTTCTGACCCACCTGCTATTTTCTCCTGAGCAGAAACCACTGACCATGTCTCTATCTTCTGACCTGGAGTGTCTCCCATAGGGACACCACTGTGCACTCTTCTCCCCTACAGGGAGAAGGCCAAGTAAAAGAGATTTAAAGATAGGCAACCAGTGATGGGAAGACTTTGGCAAATGGTCTAAGACAAGAAGTCTAGGCAGTCTCCTCTCTGTGACCTGATTTTTCTCTTGCCATATATAGGGAGACCTCGTAGCTGTTGGAGTACTATCTGGGAACAGGAATTTTGAAGGTCGAGTCCACCCCAATACCCGGGCCAACTATTTAGCCTCTCCACCCTTAGTAATAGCATATGCAGTTGCTGGGACCATCAGGATCGACTTTGAGAAAGAGCCACTAGGTAAAATTTTGTTTGTGTGGTTACAGTTTTTTTCCAATGAATTCCAAATATTACTGAAAGTTACCGCTTTCCATGTTAAATAATCAAGCATAGAACTTCCAGATCTAAGATGAAAAGGAGACTCTTTTCTTTATTCCATAATATACAGCTAAGACAAAACTGAAATAAGCAAGGATTTACTAACAGGCAAGAGATGACAAAGGAAATAAATACAAAAAGAAACAGAGATCTTGTGACTCTGGCTGCCTCTTCAGTTCTTCTTTCTAGCTCCTACTTTAATGATAGTCAGTGTCATAATACATTCCTTTATGGGAACATGTCCCAGACAGTTCAGCTTCTCAAAACAATGTTTCTTTTTCCTCTGGTGCTCTTGCTTGAATTCCCTTCTCAATCCATTCTTGTTGTGCTTCCATGGTCTTTCACAGACACCATAAAGGAGCACAGCTGAGGCTTTGCTTGTTTCAGCTCATCCTATAAATAAGTCTCTTGCTCATGCTCTATTTAGTGCATTGTTTTTCACATTTTTGTGCTTTTTCTTGGTGATTTCACTGTTTAAAACGGCCCCAAAGTGTCGTGCAGAAGTGCTGTCTAGTATAAGCCCCAAAAGGCTGTGAAATACCTCTTGTGAGGTAGACTTCATTCAGCACAAGTTATAGTGCTCTTGGCTGCAAGTTCGATGTTAATGCATCAACAATGTATATTAAATAAGGTGTCTTTAAATAGAAACACTCATAAAGCAAGATTGTGTATTGATCGGTTGCTGAAACTGTGACTGGAGGATCTTAGGAACCTAACCAGTACTTCCCATGGGGGTCATGATTCAGTGTTCTCTCCTGCAATGTCTGCATGGGCTTCATCATAACTTCCATGAAGAACAAGACTGGGCCATATGTAATGATGAAAATGGGGTATTAAATACAAATTTTTCTCATAAATAACCGTTTTTTCCCAGGGGTAAATGCAAAGGGACAACAGGTGTTTCTGAAAGATATCTGGCCAACAAGAGATGAGATCCAGGCAGTGGAGCGTCAGTACGTCATTCCTGGGATGTTTAAGGAGGTCTATCAGAAAATAGAGGTGAGGTCTCTGCCCACACTGCTCCTGAGCATCTCTGGGAAAGTGCTCCTTAGTGCCATCTCTGCAGACCTTGAGGCTAATGGGGTACAAACTATGGAAAGTAATATTTATTTGTTTAGAGAACCAGGGAAGTGGTTCTCTGTCATTTTTACAAACCCCATACCCCAAAATGTCCCCAGACTTGGACAAGTTGGCAGCACCTTCAAGAAGAAGGTCCTCAGGTTGTGTGTGATTCGTGGCCAGCTCTCCACAACGCTGCACTTCCTCAGAGCCCCTGGGTGTTGTATTAACTGTGCTTGAGGATCCCAAGCATCACCACAGTGTGTCACTGAGGTGCAGTCAGTTGGTCGAATGCACCTCTCAAGTTACTTGGATGCTCAAAAGAAAATTTTAAAAGGCACGCAGTAGGAAGCAAGAAACTACCAAACTGCTGAAATAATTAAAACTTTCTGTGCATTTTACAAATAGAGGGAAAATGTATGGGGCTCATTTCCTGAGTCCCTTGGATGTTATTTCTTTCCTTGCTTTCTGGGTTCAGTCGACCCAAAGGCTGTTGACTGGGGCTCGGGTTTAACAAGGGAGCACACTGTCTGGGGGGAGGGGGTCATGCACTGTGCCTTCCCGCATGCTGCTCTTTGGGAAACGGTGTAAGGGAGTTTGGCAGCCATTGGGTTAAATGCATTTCCCCAAAGGCTGAATTAATGGATCTGTGGTGAAAACTCAAGCCGATTTTAATGTGTAGCATCTGTCATTTGCTATTCAAGGTCCATGTAACCTGAAAGTCTACTTCCCAGAATCTTCAGAGAATAAATAATTTCCCCTCTGATACAATCTGGATTATTACTTAATGAGTTCTAAGCATACAGATTAGTTATCTATTGCCTGTACAACAGATTACCCTAAAACTTAGTGGGTTAAAACAGCAAGCATTTATTATCTCACTATTTCTGTGGATAAGAAACACAAGTGCAGCTTACCTGGGTGCCTCTGCCTTCACAAGGCAACAGTCAAGGCGTCATCTGGGGCCGTAGCTTATCTGAAGGCTCAGCATGTAGGACCCACTTCTGAGGCCGCCTTCCTGGTCCCTGGCAGGATGACGTACCTCTGGGCTGTTGGTGTGAGGGCCCCAGTGCCCCACTGTTCATGGCGGCCTCCCTCAGCACCTTGGCAGAGGCCTCCTCCCAGCTCACAGAAGGGTAGGCTTCCATCAGAGGGTAAGAGAGACAGAAGGCAGAAGTCTTTTTATCTTGGAAATGAGTCATTAGGTTCAGCCCACACTCAGCAGGAGGGGTCACTCAAGAGAGTGAATCCCAGGAGGCAGGGGTCTTTGGGGGCCATCTTAGAGGCTCTTGATCACAGTGCACATGAATTTTTAAGTTACTTAGCATGACATTATCTTAGTATAAAGGAAACTCTGTTGTGTGACTAGAATAGAGTGGCTTTTATTGTATTCTTAGCTTGAATATATGTTTTATGTTTGCACATTTAATTTCCTTGGAGTAGAATGTGGTTAATTAGATCTGCCTTTCTTTCTTGCTTGCTTTTTAAGACTGTGAATGAAAGCTGGAATGCCTTAGCAGCCCCATCAGATAAGCTGTATTGTTGGAATCCCAAATCTACGTACATTAAATCACCACCATTCTTTGAAAACCTGGTATGACTTTCTACTTCTTAACAAAAGAAATTCTTCAAAAGGTTTCTTGCCTGGTAAATCTTTATAAACCCAAACAGATAATACTGGAGAGAGTTTTGAGAAGCTGGGGTATGTGGCTTTAGTGGACCTACAATTTCTCTGTCCAGGGGTTCTGTGTTTCTGTGTAGAGACACCCTGGTGATCAAGAACCACTTAGACATAGACTTAGTAAAGTCTGAAGGACTGTTGAGGAGAACATCATCAGGGCGTGCCACATTTAAACTGTGTACCCACAAAGATGAGGGAAATCTTCCCTAAACTGATGACCAAGGAGCCCATACTCTCCTGGGTGGGAAGTGGATGGGAAGAGAGGTCAGGATTCCAGTTCCCTGTGGCTTCTGAGAAGTGCTGTGGATATGGAAAGGGAGATGTGACTGGGGAGACTCGCCAGGTGACTTGTTGGAGAAAAGATGGGCAAACACTGACTTGTATTCTTTGCTAGACGTTGGATCTGCAGCCCCCTAAATCTATAGTGGATGCCTATGTACTATTAAGTTTGGGAGATTCAGTAACAACTGACCACATTTCTCCGGCTGGAAATATTGCAAGAAACAGCCCTGCTGCTCGCTACTTAACCAACAGAGGGTAAGTTGGAGACAGGAGAGGGAAGACCAAAGACAAAAGTGAAGTAAATGAGGTCAGTATTTCTCTTTTAACATGGTCTCTTTAGAATCAGACACTTCATTTTTTCACTGACCTGGGGCTCAAAAACCAATCGCTCTTGCTGTTTGCTGCTTGGGAGCCTCTTTGGGAGAATCCATGTAAACCCCAGTGGGGCAGGGGGACCCTCTTTTTCAGCAGGCTTACCCTTTAGACTTCGCTGGCATAACTGCCCCCTTGGCTGACTGATAAAGTACAAGTCTCTGTTCTTAATCTGTGGCAGAGCCTGGTTACACTCGAAGCACTCAGCAGGCATATAACCTGAAATGCACTGCCATTTCCTAGCCGAGAGACATTCTTTACAGAGAACTGCTCTGAGGATTTGCCATTTATGCATGCATTCATCAGTCCTCAGTCATACACTGACCTAACAGGTCTTATTCCAGTGTTAACTACTGTTACCTAATACACTGATATTAATCAAAGTCAGTCCCAAATCTGGGGAAATAAAAATTCCTGATTCCCATCCCCACCTCCTAAGTTGGCTTCAAGGACAGGACCAAGAGCCAATTTAAGAACAAAATCCAACACTTCTTTTCTTTTCATTTCTCAGTGGGAGAGGAAGGCTACCTTGCCCCACACCTCGCTTGCCTGGCGCTGACCCGTTTTCTCCACACATTTCCCCTTCTGTTGTGCATCTTCCCCTAGTGCATCCTCTGTGGTGGCTGTATCTCTTCCCTTTGCATTGAGTTCCTGATGATCTGGGGGCAAATTTGAACCTACTTCTGGTTAGTTTACAGAGTGTATTTGTGTTTGCCCATCCTTGGCTCCATCTGACTAGCCTACCCTGATTCTCTGTGCTTCCTTTTTCTTACTTATTTTTAGTATTTTATCTTTTATGAAGCTTTCTAGACTACCATACTGAACAAAAAAAATAATTATTGTCATTAGAGTTCCTCCTGATTTTTCTGCCCAGGTTTAAGAAGTTGGCTCTGGGAGAATGTTGATTTCTGCCTTCACCACCCTACCCCTCACCTCTCTCTGCCCTCAGTGGAAGCTATGGGAACAGCTTCTCTGCCTTAGAGAACAATGCTCAGTAGACTTGGAGAAAATATCTAGGTTTATGGTTTTTCTCTTTTCTTTGTGTTAGCTATGTTTAATCCCTGCTCGGTCCATTAAACCAGCTCCTCTCCTGCTTGCATTACCAGCCTGACTCCGCGGGAATTCAACTCCTATGGCTCTCGCCGAGGTAATGACGCCATCATGGCAAGGGGGACATTTGCCAACATTCGCTTATTAAACAAATTTTTGAAGAAGCAGGCACCACAGACTATACATCTGCCTTCTGGAGAAACTGTGAGTATGTCGTCACTTGGTGGAGAAGCTAGCACTTTCTCAGGCTGTGGGTGGTTAGATATTTACAAGGTCGCTTTCTTGAGGTCTTACTATTTTCCTGCTTCCTCTCGTCCCACTTGCCAGGTGTCCATATATGTGTGCTCATCCCTGATGGAGATGTCCTTTAGACTGTAAAACCTCCTTCCTCTTCTAACTTAGATTCTGCTGCATGGTTTAACTAAATCTAGTTTCCTGGGAGTTGAACTTACTTAATAAGCCTCTGAGTGAAGTTTCATCAGTTCAGAGTATTTGAGGGGGAATTTCCGGGTTACGGTAGTGGATATTTATTGAGAAGTGCCATTGATTGAGTTTATTAGCATTTAACTTAATTCACTGTATAAGTAGAAAAAGAAGGACTGCAGAGGCCAGCTTGGGTCCTGATGGACCAGGCTGGCATATGACAGCGGGAGGTGTGTGTTCACAGATGGGAGGCACATGAGAGGTGGGGGAGAGCCTGCACCTTGAGTTGGACAAGCCTGGGGCCATCCCAGCTCTGCCTCATACCAGCAGAGGAGTCTTCAGCAAGTTCTTTCCCTCTCTGACCTGTGAAGTACATGGGACATCTACCTTGTAAGGCTCAAGGCTTAAACTTGAATGATATATAAAACAGCTGGCACACTATCTGGCACACGTAGTGGGTCCTCCATGTCACTTCCCTTCCCAGGGCATGCTGTAAAACAGCTTGAAGACCTCTTAAGCTACCTGAGAAATAACCCTCCTGACTTATTTTAAAATTAAAACCGCTAATATTTTGGGGGTACTTACTACATCCCAGGTACTATTCTAAGTTCTTTGCATATTTTCACTAATCATTATAAGTATTGAGGTAGGTACCATAATTATCCATGTTTTAAATTGGGAACCTGAAGCTTGGAGACCTCATATAACTCCCTAAGGTCACAAGCAGAGAAGCTGAGAGTAAAACCCAAGGACTCTAGCCCCACAATCAGTGCTGTGTAACACCATGTACACAGCCTCACTTGTAACTGATTATATTTTTATAAAGCAGACTCTTCATAGATAACCACTGATCACCAGGATCCAGCACAAAGTCTGTGCCCAGGAGATATTTGTTCAGTGAATAACAGTTTAATGGTAAACTGTTAAATAAAAAAAGATACAATTAAATGGTGGAATGCTCAAGAGGCCACGGGGAAAGACCTGGAGTTACAGACATTGGGGGGCCTCCAGTAGAGTGACTATTACAGTGAACCTCACTTCAAGCCCAGCTGGAATGTAGACCTGTTGGTCAGATGTTGAGTGCTTCATCTTAAACAGGGAGACAGAATCAGAGATGAACACTGGAGCCAAGCCTTAAACTTGACAGACCTACACAAAAAACCCATGGCAGGGTGGGGTAGGCAGAGGAAATAGAAATAAATAATACAAGAAAAACTAAGAAAAAAACATTTGTAAGTGCTCATGCACCTCAACAAACAAAAAGCAAATAATCCAATTAAAAAATGGGCAGAGGATCTGAGCAGACACCTCTCCAAAGAAGAAATTCAGATGGCCAATAGGCACATGAAAAGATGCTCCACATCGCTAATCATCAGAGAAATGCAAATTAAAACCACAATGAGATATCAACTCACACCAGTTAGGATGGCCACCATCCAAAAGACAAACAACAACAAATGTTGGCAAGGATGTGCAGAAAGGGGAACCCTCCTACACTGCTGGTGGGAATGTAAATTAGTTCTATCATTGTGGAAAGCAGTATGGAGGTTCCTCAAAAAACTAAAAATAGAAATACCATTTGACCCAGGAATTCCACCCCTAGGAATTTACTGTAGAATTCAGGAGCCCAGTTTGAAAAAGACATATGCACCCCCATGTTTATCGCAGCACTATTTACAATAGCCAAGAAATGGAAGCAACCTAAGTGTCCATCAGTAGAAGAATGGATAAAGAAGATGTGGTACATATACACAGTGGAATATTATTCAGCCATAAGAAGAAAACAAATCCTACCATTTGCAACAACATGGATGGAGCCAGAGGGTATTATGCTCAGTAAAATAAGCCAGACAGAAAAAGACAAGTATCAAATGATTTCACTCATCTGTGGAGTATAAGAAAAAGAGAAAAACTGAAGGAACAAAACAGCAGCAGACTCACAGAACCCAACAAATGGACTAACAGTTACCAAAGGGAAAGGGATTGGGGAGAGTGGGTGGGAAGGGAGGGATAAGGGGGGAAAAAAAGGGGGCATTACGATTAGCAGACATACTGTAGGGAGTGGGGGGCATGGGGAGGGCTGTACAACACAGAGAAGACAAGTAGTGACTCTACAGCATCTTACTATGTTGATGGACAGTGACTGAGACTGTAATGGGATATGTGGTGGGGACTTGACAATGGGGGAGTCTAGTAAACATAATGTTTCTCATGTAATTGTAGATTAATGATACCAAAATAAAAAAAAAATATATATATATATAGTATATATAGTCTCTAAGTGATGAGATAATTTTCTGTTGCCATAAAGTAATCAGAGGACAAGAGGTCTTCAGTTTTTTTTTTAAGCCCCTAAAAAATTTCACAGGAAAAGTTGATTAGTTGAGAAAATACAAACAGAAAGACAAAAGAAAAATTAGAAAATGTACGAAAAGTAAAGACTAAACTGAGGAGGCCCAACATCTGACTGAACAGAGATACTAAAAAGAGAAGAGGAAGTTATAACACAGAAAATTCCCTCACTGTACAATCTAAGACTCCAGACTGAAAAGTCTACTGAATGTCCAGCCAAATGATTAAAAAAGATCCACTGCAGGTCACATCATGTGAAGTTAAGAACAGCAGAACTAAGGAGAAGACTTAGAAGCTTCTGGAGAGGAAAAAAAAACAGTACAATGTGCCAGGGATCAGCAGTGGTCAAAGCAACACTGAAACGTAGACTGATTTGCACCCTAAAATACTGTATCCCCCATACTACCAGTCAAGTGAAATTAAACTAATGGTACATTCAGATATTCAGAAACTTGAAAAATATCCCCCAATCCCTGTCTCAGGAAGCTACTTGGTGAATGTGTTCCACTAAAACAAGGAAATAAGCCAAACAAGGGGAAGTTGTAGGATCCAGGAAAAGGAAATGCAAGGAATCTCCAGGGCACTGGTGAAGGAGGTTTCCTCTGTAAAAGGGGTATACCACCCCCAGAGACCAGTCAGTCTGGAACTGGAGCAGGACTGAGGGCTGTGGAAGTGATAGTTCCATAAAAAAGATGTTTAAATGATAGAATGCCCAATATACTTCATGTCTTTAGAGAAGATTTGCACTTTAGGGGATGAATTAATGGGTAGGGTCATAGAAAGAGGTTAGTACACACATAAAAAGAAAATGATTAATTCTTCTATAACCTTTTTTTAATGCCAGTGTAAAGAAATTATATTACACGACTCAGCTGTAAGTAACATTTACATAATCAAAGTAATGCAAAAACCAAATACTGATTTACCAAAACGTACAACATAACTATATGGAAGGTTGGGCAGATGGGAGGTTTGTCTGGGGAGGGAGGGAGGGGCTTAGGGAAGTAGTGGTTAAAAGAATGAAATCCTCATCAGAGTGGGAAACTGATAGATAACAAAAATGGAGAAATGGAGAGCTGGCAGTTTAACACCTAGAGAGGTGTTAACACAAGAAACAACCAAAGTTTATGCTGTCATCTTAAGAAGAGAGGGAGAGTGCCGGCAGCTGTGCTGGGTAAGCTGTTCTGTATGTAAGCTCTGTGTGGCTTAGATAGTAGAATAGTCAGGAGACTCGAAATCTACACCTGCCTAAGTAGTCCCTCTGATGTTGGGTTACAGAACCTGCTTTGCCATGGATCATCCGCTTTGCAGTAGTTTTGAAAGCACTTAAAAATAGTCCTACAGTCTTACTACCCATAGCTAGTTATAGGTAACCGAAAATACCAGGTAGTTGTTTCCAGTCTTTGAAAAGATCCAGACTATTTGTTTGGACAGAGAAGTCTTATTCCATTTATTTGTAGGTGTAGAGGCAACACACTTGCCTTTACTGCACCTGTAAAACCTTCCTTTTCCCTTCTTCAGTTTGATGTGTTTGATGCTGCAATTCATGTAACTATATTCATAAGTTCTCTCCCATCAAAGACATACAGAAAATCCTACCCAGGTTTAGGTAATGCCATGTGAAATTAACCACAGGCGCCCCACTGCACCAAAATAGTACTTGTGACAGCCTGGAGAGTTTGAGTAGAGATCCTTTCAGTTGAAACACTGTCTCTTTGAAGGAATTTTTCCTAACCTATCCAAGAAAAACAAGTGTTTCATTACTCTCACTAGCAGTTAAATCAGATATCTTTGTGAAGTCGCAGCTCAGCAGAATATTGAGTCCTGTGAAAAATAAATCAATGTGTAAAATGTCTCTCATGTATACTAAAATATTAATCCTTTCCCATCCTTTATTGATTTATGCTTCTATCTGTGTTTCTACTATCTCTACCTTGACTTCCATGTAGAAAGGTAGCTAATAAAAGTTTGCATTTTATATAATTTCAGAACATGCTGTCTTTGTATTTGGCTACCATTTACAACCATCCATCACAGAGTCTCTGATACTGAGCTGAAACCTCTGTTTGGGTGGGATTCTCCATCTTTATGCTTTAAAAACTGTTAAATCAAGGAAAGAGGGGGAAAAGTGTTATCTACTTTTCTGTCTTTGCCCTGATGCCCTAGAATTTGAATGTTTTTCTAAAACCAAGACAACAACTACAGATTTCACTTTAAAATTCAACTTGGTAGGGGTAAGTAGATGGAGTTGATTGTGAATTTGTAGACCAGTCAACTGATTGGTTGAGTGTTCCATTGGCTTTGCACTGACTTGGCCCACCACAGTCCCTTTTGACCCTGCACTTCTCATCAGGTTTCACTGGACTGTGTCCACACTCTGTGCTTTTACTACCTCTGTAAAACCTTCCTTTTCTCTTCTTCAGCTTGATGTATTTGATGCCGCTGAGCGGTACCAGCAGGCAGGCCTTCCCCTGATCATTCTGGCTGGCAAAGAGTATGGCTCAGGTAGCTCCCGAGACTGGGCAGCCAAGGGCCCTTTCCTCCTGGTGAGTACAATGCAGATCCCAGTAGGCAGCTGACATTCTGATCTGGAGGAGAATCTGGGAAGGGGTTCAGCAATCAAGTCTGTTACCTTCCTTTTCAAGGTGTCATGGAAGAACAGGTTCAGAAACTCATGTAACGTTTGCTCACCTGCTCCTTGGTGGATCTGGCTTTACTTCACTCAGTATAATTTAGATTCAAAGTGATTCCCTTAGATCAAACACTCGTATCCTGGGAACCACAGACCTTCGGGAGTGTCTAGAACAGTTGGGGGGTGGTCTATGAAGTCTTTGAAGTGATATCCAAAAGCGTGTGTTTTTTGTGGGGAAAAATCTGGTTTTCATGATCTCAGAGGTTCAGAACCCAAAATTTATTGAAGGCCACTGTCTCAGGTAAATGTAGGGAATAAGTCAGGGTTCCTGCTGCCGTATTGTCTGTTAGGGTCACAGAAGGGTGAAAGTAAGGAGCTTGGGCTTTGGATAAACTCAGAAAAGGACTTCTTACAATTGCTTTTCACTGCCTGTGCAAGAAAAATCTGCTGACAGATTCTCAATAGGAAAGAAAGCTCTCAGTATGTAGACCTCCCACCATTTCAGGCCTTGCCCTGCTTGAGGTGCCCCCATGGGAGGGCCGTGTAGGGATCAGATGACTTTTACCTCGAGCATTTGCTTGCCTGAAAGCAGGGAAGAATCCTGACGCTCAGCTTTAATCCTTGGGCTAGGGTAAAACGGCTTAGCTGATGTCAACTTAAATAATTTATGACATGAGGAAGTTAATACACTCGGGAAACACTACATAAGTTAATATCATCAAGTATAGTAAAAAATGTGGCTGTCTAGCAGGCAGTGCTTCAGACATCCAGGTTTCTGAAAACATCTGAACATCACACCTAGATTTTTTTTAATCAATCATTTTGCTTTGTGTAGAAATAAAGATGTTCTCTGATTAGTTGCTAATATGTCAAAGGCGGCCTGCCCTTTCTAGAAAGTACTGGAAAGAATCAGAAATTACAGAAGAGGAAAGGATTTTAGAAGGGGGTTAGGAGCTGATAATAGAAATGAGACCCAGGTAGCAAGCAGTCAGGTGGGAAACTGTAAGGTCAGACAGATAAGAAAAGGACTAGCACCCGAGAGGTCCCTACTGAACCACACGGAGTTCTGGCAGCCCAGGCTAGGCACACACAGCCACTCAGCTGTCCTGGGCTGTTCTCAGCACAGAGAGGGACAGGCACCTGTGACTGCAGCACTGTAGCACTGCACAGCCTTTTACACAGAGCTAGGGCCATAACAATGTGTGTTTACAAAAGCTTTCCATTTTCCCCTAAGATAAATTAACATAATATGTACATACATCAGTCCATTGAAAATATCTATTGCTCTGAAGAAGCTGCCCCTCCTCTCCAAATTTTTTTTTTTAAATATGGGAACACCTGTGGGAGTTTTTTAAATACTTATTCCTGGATCTCATCCCCAGAGATTCTGGTTTAATTGGTAAGAAGAAAGGCCTGCACTTTGGGATTTTAAAAGCCTCTCCTGGAACTTCTAATATGCAGCAAAGTTTGAGAACCCATGGTTCTCATAACTTAGAAAAATCACTCTTCCCACCCTGTGCTCCCTGCAAGAGATTCTGATGCAGTAGATCTGGGGTAGTATCCAAGATCTGCATTTATAACAAGCTCCCACAGGGGATCTCAAAAGTATACTCTAGATATTAAGAGATCTTTTAGGAGTATCTTAATATTACAATTAACAAATATTTGAGAAAGGGATGGTTTAGTTAATTATTTTGGCTTACTGATCATCGCTGTATATTGCCAGTTATAGATTACCAATAAAATGTACTTTATAGGAAGGTTAATAATCAAGAATGTATTCAGTGCAATGTGATCCCTGAAACAGGTATAAAAGCATATCACATCACTTCTCTGTAGTAAATTGTGAAAGCTGTTTTTGATTAAATCTACTATGTCTGCCAATTCACCTACAATAATAGCAAAATTCAAGGACAATAAACTTTTTTTATGTTGTTTTGTGGTGAGAATGGAACTTCCACATACAATGGAAGTTTGCTAAAAGATTGTATCATGAAGTGGCTAAGGGCACAGTCAGACCACATGGGTTCAAATGCCAGATACTACCACTGACCACCTTGGTAAAGGGGGGACAGTAATAGCACCTACCTCCCAGGACTTGTGGAGGGTGGAATGGGAGAATTCGTGGAAGTGTTTACATAGTGCCCGTACAGTATAGGCAGTCAGCTAAGACTAGCAACTGGGTAATTTACAACTAGAGTTAATAACTTTGTGAATGATGAACTGGTACTTTGAAAGAATATAGGTATGAGAAGACTTATGACTTAAGCCTTTTCTAAAGTTTCTGTATAAAGAAAATTTGGAACTGTGTCCAAACTACTGTCTTGGCTCACCAGGGAATCAAAGCTGTCCTGGCTGAGAGTTACGAGCGCATTCACCGCAGCAACTTGGTCGGAATGGGGGTGATTCCCCTGGAATATCTCCCTGGGGAGGATGCAGACATGCTGGGACTCACAGGGCAGGAACGATACACCATCATCATTCCAGAAAACCTCACACCACGAATGCAAGTCCAGGTCAAGGTAAGCCAGAGGCTCACTATGCCAGGCCTAGCTAAAAAGGGCTGTGTGTTTGTAATCAATCTAGTTAGAAGGACATCAGTGCAATTTGGACAGAAAAAAAAAAATTACTAGTTAGAACTACATTAAACTTAGGAGTTTAGCACATTTTCTCCCTGCCTTCACGACACAGTAAGGATGATGCCAGTTGATATCATTTATTTCTGTTTTCATAGAGTTAATCATTACTTCCATTCTTACCTCCCAACTCCAACCACAGTCTCATATTCCTCCCAATCTCACTTAGGCCAGAGAATAGTGATGAAAGCTTAGGGATAGGACCTTTTCATATTACCTAAAAAACACCTTTTTATTATAAAAATATTAATAAATACACTCACCCCATCCCTGAGCCGTGCTCCAGAGCCCAGATCTTCATTCACCCAAAGGTAAAAATAACAGTTCCCTAGGTAAGACAAGGATGAAGTGCCCAGCACCAAGGTCCCAGGGTGAGCAGCTCGATCAGCTGCAGCAGGACAACCTTTATGAAACCTCTGCTGACCCAAGACATTCATCTCTGCAGGGAGCTCCCAGAGAGGGTTTAGAAAAGATCCGAAACATCAGTAGTAGCTGCTGCCCTAATAGGCTATTTCTAGTTCTCAGGTGTCTCCCACCTCCATCATTTATACTCTGAAGCACTTTATTGTGCAGGTTAATCTGCTGCAGATCTTGTTAAATCGGCTTCTGATTCCGTGGCTCCAGGCTGGGGCCAGAGATTGAGCACGTTCCCAGGAGCAGCTGGCACTGCTGGTGTGCAGACCATGCTTTGAGGGGCAGACCCGAGGTCAAGCTGGGCAGGAGCTCCTCCTGAGAGAGCTGCCTCAGATCCTCCCCCAGTGATTTGTGTTCTGCTTCTCTGTCATTGCAGCTGGATACTGGAAAGACCTTCCAGGCTGTCACGAGGTTTGACACTGATGTGGAGCTTGCGTATTTCCACAACGGGGGCATCCTCAACTACATGATCCGCAAGATGGCCAAGTAGGCCCTCATTTTTTAGGAGACCTGCACTTTGAGCTGCACTGGGGAGGAAGCACAGGGCCACCAGCGAGCTGGGCCTCTGGTGCAGATGTATCCCCCCATTGCCTCCGTGCAGGGGCGCTGCCTTGCAGATGGAGTGTGTGAGCACTGGAGTTGAGGTGCCATGCCTCCAGACAGAAAATCAGCAGTTTCTACATTCTCTATTTTTGTTAGTCTTTCTTTTTCTAGAATTTGGAAGCCAAAATGGTGGAATGTCAGTAGTGCCACTAAGTGAGAACTGAGCTTATCTTTAAAGTTACTGATCACAGAATGTTGATTTTTCACTCTTGGCCTCTAAATGTTCAGCCAAACACAAGTAAGTTTTCTTAAAAGGTGTCTCCCGTCCACTTTTTGTTTATCTGTTATCGTCAGCTCAGTGAAACCTTTCCCTTGAGGGTCAAAGCCTTTCATATTATACCAGTGTTAATGGACATAGGTAGATAAGAACTTTTCACATTTCAAATCGTAGTGGTGATTGTGATTCTCCCCCCCTCCTTCCTTTTCCTTCAGAATGAATGATCCATACGATTGGTGGACAGGTCAAACACTGAAATTTTTTGATTATGTAACTTTTGATGGATCAACACTAAAGAAATGTTACGTGTTCCTTCACTATCTTCAGAAATTTTCCCCAGAAAAAATTTTCATTTGTCAAAAGAGAACTTTGGAGGTGGTTCTGGAGAAAGACAGAACACTTCTAATTTTAGTAAGCTTAAATCTATTTTCAAGGAAAACTTCTTGACTTGGGAATTGAATTCTGCTGTGTGTGAGGCTATAGTTTTGAGATATTTAAAGCAGAGCAAATCTCAGACTGTACCATCCTGAAGCCTGGATGACCTTCAAGTTCTCCTGTTTCTATAACCATATCTGTATTACTCTGGTGATACGGAAGAGCTGAGGAACTCATGTTTCCCGCCCTGTTTGGGAACAGACATAAAGGTAGCAGTAGCAATAATCTAAGTATGGTGAGCAGAACACAGTTTTTTGATTTTCATGTCCTATTATTTATCTGCTCATTTTCATCACTGAAGTCATTTCAGGGCACATGTCTTAATCTGCTCTGGTTGTTATAACAAAATATCATAGACTGGTGGCTCAGACATCAAAACTTTATCCTGTCATAGTTCTGGAGGCTAGAATTCCAAAATCAAGGTTTTAGCCAATTCATTTTCTGGTGAGAGCTCTCTTCCTGGTTTGTAAATAGATGGCTACATTCTTGCTGTGACACATGGCGTTTCCTAGTGCATGAGCACAGAAAGAACTAGCTCTCTGGTGTCTCTTCATATAGGGGCATTAATCTTATCATATCAGGGCCCCAATCTTATGACCTCATTTAAGGTTAATTACTTTCTTAGAGGTCCCATCTCCAAAGAGGCAACAGAGGTGTTAGGGTTGGTTTCAACATATAAATTTGGGGGGTGGGGACACAAATAAACATTCAGTCCATTACAGGGCACCTTATAGCTTACAATCTCCTTGTATTGAATTCTAAATCTCAAGTTTAGCAGTCAGGGGATGTGGCCCGGTTATCAGAACACCTAGAACTGAGTCCTGTCTCTGATTCTTCCCAGAAAAAGAAACAAGACTGGTTATTGAGCAACCCTGCCTCTGAGGTTCTGGGTTGTAGCTTGCGTTCACAAATAAAAACTACAAACAGAACCCTGTTGTACAAAAAATAAAAAATAAAAAAACCTGACACCCTCAAATCCAGATCAGTTCTAACTTATGTAATAACACTTAAGCTGAGAAAATAGACTGTCAGCCCCATTACTGACCATCTGGGGAGCTGTCTAGTCCCTGCTTTCAGTGGCTTGGGGAGACAGATTCTTCTGGCTGTGACTTCTGGAATGAGGTTCCTTCACACATGGACTGCCTTCCTCTCCCAACAAATAAACCCTCTATCCTGTTCATTAATGAAGTGTCTTGGCCAGTGTCACATCCTTGTCCACAACAAGGCTGAACAAATACACCCTTTTACCTGGTTTCTTAGGAAGGCACGTCCTCGTATTGTCCAAATTGAAAGTATGTTACTCCTGCTGGTCCCATTCCTCCTTCCTCTCTATAGGATTCACATCTTTGTTCTTAGAGTTTCCTAAGTCCATTACTGCCTGGTCCTGTCTAGGGAAACAGACATTAATTGGTGTGTACAGTGTTAACCGACGAACTTATTTAATGCAGCAAATAAGCACGTGTGTCTTTGGTTATGGGGCAGCCCTCATGTAGGTGGGCAGAGTAAGCTAGGGGAAAGATAAATGAGTCATGACTCTTAGTTATGGTGTTAAAAGCATAACCCAAACTGGCTTAAGCAAAAAATAGTAAAATAGGCTCAAAAAACTAGAACAACAGTGGGGGGCCATGGCCACATCTAGACACTCAAATTCAAGTTCCCTCCCTGTCATTTCCCCTCTAATCTTGCCTCCCATTTACGATGGCCTCATTTCTTCTGGACCACTTCATGTGCTAGGGGCTCTGACCACCTGCAGCTCTGGGCCAAGTTAACTTGTCACCTTAGAGATCTGTCTCCCAGTTTTCCCTAGGCAAAAGAATACTGGGGGTTTCCTAGTCACCTAAATGAAGAGACTTATTTTTGGCAGTTTCTCTTTCAGGGTTGTGTTAGGACAGTCCCCTGCAGCGTTATGTAGGAGCAACAGAGTTACTTCTGAAGAAAGTAAGGTTCTACTGGCTGCCTTCTTAGGAAGTCATTAAATGTCATGACAACCATTTAATACCCAAGTCATTTTTGTCCACCAGGACAAGCCTAATTATGAACAAAGATTATGTAATTATAGCTGGTCATTTTTTAACAGTTTTAACAATTTGTAATTCAAGAACTGAGGCCTACACACATTAAATACAGATTTGTTGAGTGAAATTCATAGTTTTGCTACATAGTATAATAAAACAGTTACTGGTATGATCCTGAAATTAATTCTACCATTTGATTCTGGTTCTATAGTCAGCATCAGGGCTGTATACCTGCCACTGTGCTTCTGAAGGATGTTAACTACACCCATGTAATAAAAGGGTTCCAGGGCCAGTGTATTTAGAAAACACTGGGTTAAATGGGTCTTAACTGCTGCAGAACCAACAGTGACGCATAATGACGGTGTGTCCTGTAAACCAGTTGTTGGAGGGGAAGGGTGGCAGCATATGGTACAGAAACCTATCTGACCTCGGAATGTTTTCTTCAGAGCATCTCAGCAATTGAGTTCTATAGAACATGCTTGAGGGAACACTGACCAGATGATTAACTTGTTTTTTAAATTCCAGTCATTATATCATTTTTAAGGACAGTTTACTGCCCTTGTTACACAATCTGGCATTTGAATGAAGGTGACTTCATTTCAGGTGAAAACCACATCAGAACTGTCAGGGTCCTGTAATCACACAGTGGTTTTTTGTTTGTTTTTTGTTATTTATTTATTTATTTATTTATTGTATCATTAATCTACAATTACATGAGGAACATTATGTTTACTAGACTGCCCCCTTCACCAAGTCCCCCCCACACACAGTGGGTTTTATCTAAACCACCTGAGTGACTTCAGAAAATACACATGGCCAAACGTTCTGGCAGTTCTAATGGGGGCTGGGTATGTGCCCAGAGAATGACTCCCCAGTTGGTTCTGAAATGCAGCCTTTGATCTAGAAATCCAGTGATCAGAATTTGGGCATCAGCAAAAGTTTGCAATTATTAAAACTCTACCTACAGATTTCTTTCAATAAATAGTAACCAAGTGCTTACTTCTTTCAGGCTCTGTGCCTGGCAATGGTTTGCCATTATGCAAAAGTCAAACAAGAAAATCCAGTTTTTGTTTTCTCACCTCTAGTCACCCGACTTCTTTGGCTGAAGAGAGGGACTATTCACCTTCATCCAAAATGAACCCTTTAGACAGTTGAACCTTAAAAATAAACCCAGCAAAAATGGGTTTATTCGGAAAGAACAGGAAACTACAATTCACACTTAAGTACGGAAGAGAGGAGTACTCTTCTGTAGAGGAAAGGCTGGAGCTGGGAGGGCTGTTACAAAAAGTCCATTGGTGTAAACTGGGAGTTCGAAGCTAGTGGCTTCTCATTGGCTGAATTGTGACAGCCTTTCATTGGCTAGGCTGTTGCCAGGAGAAGGAAAACCTCTTTCCTCTTACCTGGGTAGTGAAGTGAGAGCTAATGCAGTATCACCTTGCAAGATAGGTCTTCTGGTTGGGTTTGCAATTGATGAGAGGTGGTCGGGCATGAGCGCTCCCCCTGCTGGCCTCCCAACTCCTTTTTAGTGAGGTTTCCCTTTATAAATTTCACACTTCTCAAATAAAAGGTTACACTTGTGAGACTGTGATTTACAATAAGAAAAATACCTAGTGCATGAGCACAGAAAGAACTAGCTCTCTGGTGTCTCTTCATATAGGGGCATTAATCTTATCATATCAGGGCCCCAATCTTATGACCTCATTTAAGGTTAATTACTTTCTTAGAGGTCCCATCTCCAAAGAGGCAACAGAGGTGTTAGGGTTGGTTTCAACATATAAATTTGGGGGGTGGGGACACAAATAAACATTCAGTCCATTACAGGGCACCTTATAGCTTACAATCTCCTTGTATTGAATTCTAAATCTCAAGTTTAGCAGTCAGGGGATGTGGCCCGGTTATCAGAACACCTAGAACTGAGTCCTGTCTCTGATTCTTCCCAGAAAAAGAAACAAGACTGGTTATTGAGCAACCCTGCCTCTGAGGTTCTGGGTTGTAGCTTGCGTTCACAAATAAAAACTACAAACAGAACCCTGTTGTACAAAAAATAAAAAATAAAAAAACCTGACACCCTCAAATCCAGATCAGTTCTAACTTATGTAATAACACTTAATAACACTTAAGCTGAGAAAATAGACTGTCAGCCCCATTACTGACCATCTGGGGAGCTGTCTAGTCCCTGCTTTCAGTGGCTTGGGGAGACAGATTCTTCTGGCTGTGACTTCTGGAATGAGGTTCCTTCACACATGGACTGCCTTCCTCTCCCAACAAATAAACCCTCTATCCTGTTCATTAATGAAGTGTCTTGGCCAGTGTCACATCCTTGTCCACAACAAGGCTGAACAAATACACCCTTTTACCTGGTTTCTTAGGAAGGCACGTCCTCGTATTGTCCAAATTGAAAGTATGTTACTCCTGCTGGTCCCATTCCTCCTTCCTCTCTATAGGATTCACATCTTTGTTCTTAGAGTTTCCTAAGTCCATTACTGCCTGGTCCTGTCTAGGGAAACAGATATTAATTGGTGTGTACAGTGTTAACCGACGAACTTATTTAATGCAGCAAATAAGCACGTGTGTCTTTGGTTATGGGGCAGCCCTCATGTAGGTGGGCAGAGTAAGCTAGGGGAAAGATAAATGAGTCATGACTCTTAGTTATGGTGTTAAAAGCATAACCCAAACTGGCTTAAGCAAAAAATAGTAAAATAGGCTCAAAAAACTAGAACAACAGTGGGGGGCCATGGCCACATCTAGACACTCAAATTCAAGTTCCCTCCCTGTCATTTCCCCTCTAATCTTGCCTCCCATTTACGATGGCTTCATTTCTTCTGGACCACTTCATGTGCTAGGGGCTCTGACCACCTGCAGCTCTGGGCCAAGTTAACTTGTCACCTTAGAGATCTGTCTCCCAGTTTTCCCTAGGCAAAAGAATACTGGGGGTTTCCTAGTCACCTAAATGAAGAGACTTATTTTTGGCAGTTTCTCTTTCAGGGTTGTGTTAGGACAGTCCCCTGCAGCGTTATGTAGGAGCAACAGAGTTACTTCTGAAGAAAGTAAGGTTCTACTGGCTGCCTTCTTAGGAAGTCATTAAATGTCATGACAACCATTTAATACCCAAGTCATTTTTGTCCACCAGGACAAGCCTAATTATGAACAAAGATTATGTAATTATAGCTGGTCATTTTTTAACAGTTTTAACAATTTGTAATTCAAGAACTGAGGCCTACACACATTAAATACAGATTTGTTGAGTGAAATTCATAGTTTTGCTACATAGTATAATAAAACAGTTACTGGTATGATCCTGAAATTAATTCTACCATTTGATTCTGGTTCTATAGTCAGCATCAGGGCTGTATACCTGCCACTGTGCTTCTGAAGGATGTTAACTACACCCATGTAATAAAAGGGTTCCAGGGCCAGTGTATTTAGAAAACACTGGGTTAAATGGGTCTTAACTGCTGCAGAACCAACAGTGACGCATAATGACGGTGTGTCCTGTAAACCAGTTGTTGGAGGGGAAGGGTGGCAGCATATGGTACAGAAACCTATCTGACCTCGGAATGTTTTCTTCAGAGCATCTCAGCAATTGAGTTCTATAGAACATGCTTGAGGGAACACTGACCAGATGATTAACTTGTTTTTTAAATTCCAGTCATTATATCATTTTTAAGGACAGTTTACTGCCCTTGTTACACAATCTGGCATTTGAATGAAGGTGACTTCATTTCAGGTGAAAACCACATCAGAACTGTCAGGGTCCTGTCATCACACAGTGGTTTTTTGTTTGTTTTTTGTTATTTATTTATTTATTTATTTATTGTATCATTAATCTACAATTACATGAGGAACATTATGTTTACTAGACTGCCCCCTTCACCAAGTCCCCCCCACACACAGTGGGTTTTATCTAAACCACCTGAGTGACTTCAGAAAATACACATGGCCAAACGTTCTGGCAGTTCTAATGGGGGCTGGGTATGTGCCCAGAGAATGACTCCCCAGTTGGTTCTGAAATGCAGCCTTTGATCTAGAAATCCAGTGATCAGAATTTGGGCATCAGCAAAAGTTTGCAATTATTAAAACTCTACCTACAGATTTCTTTCAATAAATAGTAACCAAGTGCTTACTTCTTCCAGGCTCTGTGCCTGGCAATGGTTTGCCATTATGCAAAAGTCAAACAAGAAAATCCAGTTTTTGTTTTCTCACCTCTAGTCACCCGACTTCTTTGGCTGAAGAGAGGGACTATTCACCTTCATCCAAAATGAACCCTTTAGACAGTTGAACCTTAAAAATAAACCCAGCAAAAATGGGTTTATTCGGAAAGAACAGGAAACTACAATTCACACTTAAGTACGGAAGAGAGGAGTACTTTTCTGTAGAGGAAAGGCTGGAGCTGGGAGGGCTGTTACAAAAAGTCCATTGGTGTAAACTGGGAGTTCGAAGCTAGTGGCTTCTCATTGGCTGAATTGTGACAGCCTTTCATTGGCTAGGCTGTTGCCAGGAGAAGGAAAACCTCTTTCCTCTTACCTGGGTAGTGAAGTGAGAGCTAATGCAGTATCACCTTGCAAGATAGGTCTTCTGGTTGGGTTTGCAATTGATGAGAGGTGGTCGGGCATGAGCGCTCCCCCTGCTGGCCTCCCAACTCCTTTTTAGTGAGGTTTCCCTTTATAAATTTCACACTTCTCAAATAAAAGGTTACACTTGTGAGACTGTGATTTACAATAAGAAAAATATTTGGTCTTCCACTTCTGTCACAGAGCTTCTAAAACTTGGTATTTCCTAATTGATGAGAGGAACAAAGTTATCTCGGTATGTTATTGAGGTGACCTTTGAACCATACACCTAAGGGTGGGGGCCGGTTGCCAAGAGAACCAGTCATTGATTACAGGATTGGGACTTTCAATTCCACCCCCGACCTCTGGCAAGGGGAGAGGAGCTAGAGGCTGCATCAATCATTGATGGCCAACAATTTAATCAATCATGTCTGTAATGAAGCCTCCATAAAAACCCAAAGGACAGGGTTTAGAGAACTTCAGGTTGGTGAACATGTGGAGATACAGAGAGCATGGAAACTCTGTGCCCTATCTCCATACCTTAACCTATGCATCTTTCACATCTGGTTGTTCCTGAGTTATACATACCCTTTTATAATAAACTGGTGATCTAGTAAGTAAAATATCCCTTTGAGTTCTGTGAGCTTCTCTAGCAAATAACAAAGAGAATGTCATTGGAACTTCCAATCTATAACCAGTCTGTGAGAAGCACAAATGACAACCTAGATTTGCCACTGGCATCTGAAGTGGGAGGGGGAAGGGCAATCTCCTAGGAGACTTAACCTGTGGGATCTGACGCTATCTCCAGGTAGTCAGAAATGAGCTGAATTGCAGGACACCCAACTGGTGTCAGAAAATTGCTTGGTGGTATGGAAAAGCACTCCATTTTGGGTTACCAGGACCTTAATATTCTAATAAAATATAAATGGAAAATGAATAAAAGTCAAGCAATTTGCCTTAAATAATCCATTTTACTGTCTCACTAAGAATATTACTAAGAGTAAAATTATCAAGCAACTACTATCTATATATCATGTACTTTTTTTCCACATATTTATTTCAGTTCAAAACTCTCCACTAACCCTTAAGCTACATTTTATCCTTGTGTTACAGATGAAAGCCAAAGAGAGGTTATGTAACTGGCAAGTTCTCTGACTCTCAGCCAGCACAGCTGCTCAAATAGAGGGCCCAACCGATATCCAGGGCTGATTTGTGTAGTCTGGGTGGTCTCCTGGACACCAAACAGCCTTAAGATGTAAACAGATGCTACTTGAAAAGGGTTGTGTCATCACATGTTGAACATATTATTAATATTTTATGATGTTTGGAGGTTTGCTTAAGCCATTGATGGTCCTGGTGAATCACAAAAAACTAATCCGAATCTGTTGTAGGAAGGTGTTTACATTACTATAGCACCTACACTGACCTGAACAAAGTAACTTGGCCTGCACGGAAACAGCAAAATGCAGGCAATTACCTCCATGTCTGGAAAACCCCAAACTAAGCTCTGAAAGTGTCAGCAAATCTACTTAAATGACACAGGAAAGCCATTTGGATACATATTCTAACTTTTTAAATAGAAAGAGCAGCTAAATTTCCTCATCAGTATCATTTAAGGGAAATTAACTGCGAACAAGAGTCCAAGTGTTGACCATCAACTATTGCTAGAAAATGGCTTTCCTATTCAAAAGGGAAAATTGCACAGGTTAAGAAAAATTAATAGACAAAGACATGCAATAAACTAAAAGAACTTACATGAACTCAAGAAGCACTGGATCATTTACATGCCCCCATTACTAAAAGTTGTCCACTACAGAATTTTAAGATTACATGCCACACATTGCTACACAAAGAACATGAGTATATGTAATGATTATACCTATATATCATATATTCATATATATTGATCCCTTGGAATTATCAACGTTTAAGGGACCAGCAAAGAGGAACCAATAGCAAGACTGGGATAGTGCTAAAAGAGATCAAATCCAAAGGGGAGTTCCAAGAAAGGAACACTAGACAGGGCCAAAAGCAGCAAAGAGGTCAAACAGAGAAAAGGACTAAGAAACGCCCAATGAATTTGGCAACCAGAGTCACTAGTGACCTTGATTAAGAACAATTCCAGTAGATTGTCAAGGGCAAAAGACAGTTTACAGTAGGTTAAGGAAAGAAAGGGAAGTATGGAAAACCTTTCAACACTTCATTCACTCACTCACTCATGCATTCCATTGTGTACTGAGAGGCGACTGGCTGTGCAGTGGCACTTGGTTCTGAAGGGAAGGACAGAAACAGAAGTTAAGGCTTTTTAATTTTTCCCAAGTACTTGGAGCTCTATTGAAATCATTCAGTACTGTGATTCACTCATTTGTGCTTTATAGTACAAACTGTTGAAAACAATAAACAGATGGTGAAGTTAAGTAAAAATATTCAGTATGGTATTAGCCTTAGGTAAAGTATCTTCACAATGCTTCAAGCTCATCCATTCCCTATAGCGGAAATTAAGGTCTTGAGGTCATTTGGACATTTCTGCAGGGCCAAATGGCATCTTCTCAAAATGAAAGTCTCTCCACTTTGCATACAGTTTCTGAGCACCAGTTGCAACATCTTCCACCACAAAACTTTCAATTTTTATAACTGGAATTTCAAATGCCTTGTACTTCATATAGATTCCCCAGTCTTGGTTGCAGTTCTGTCTGGCACAGAAGATCTTTGCTGTCTTCTCAAAATTCCCAAAGCTCTTTGGTTTGGGGTGTAATTTAGTTATACAGCATGTCCTAAAAGCATCTCCAACCACAGTGTAATGGCATTCCTACAGAGAAAGGGATCGAATAATACACAAAACAGAACAGAAGAACCAGTACATAATTGTGATCAAAAAAGAAAACTCCACAATAATATGAGATGAAGAGCAGGTGGGATCCCACTTATTTTAAAGATGGGGTAAAAAGAAAATATGAGTTCACCTGCCTGACTCTCAGCTATGTGGGCGGGGGTAAGGATGGGGGTACAAGTGAAGTAATAGGGGACATCTCATGAAGAGGAAGACTAAGACGTTTCCAGGAAACCTACCTTCCAAAAGTGGATACTTTATTAATTTAGAAACAAATGGGTATTTGTCAAAGATCTGCAAAGCCTGAGTCTACCAGGGCCCTGATGGGTACAATCAAAAGGACACAGAAAAACAACTAAAGGTCAAGTGGATCTGAAGAGGCTTAAGGACTAAGTGTCCACAGGCCCACCTACAGTCAGCATTAGAGAAACCTGACAAAGTCCACACTGCACAGAAAGAGTGCAGATCCAACATACAAGCCCCCAGGAAAACGTGCAGTCTAAAAGGGCCACTCGACAAAATCAACCAAACTGGAGCTGAAAGGACTTTTGACAGCTAAAAAAGCAGACTTACAAAGCTACAGGACCCTGCCACTATCACCCCTGATATGCATCTTGCTCAAACAGTGGGACTGATTCCAGACTTCAGCTTTCCAAAGACCAAACAGAACCCCAATAATCATCATCTGAACAAGTCCAGGCACCCTACTCTCCCCTCTATCTGCACTGTTAGAGTTAAATACAATTTTGTCTTTGGAGATTTTCTAAAAGTTTTAAGGAAAAAAAAATATATGTATAGAAAGCTAACCTGCAGATGTTATGTTTTTAAAGTAAGTTCATATTTTGTTTTCATTATAAAAGTAATTCATACCAAAAACAAAATTTAGAAACCATATAGTAGTAGAAAGAGAAAAAAAAACAGAATCCCACTATAAAATACTGATATATTTTAGTATATCTCCTCTAGTCATTTTTCTGTGCAAGTCAAGATTTTTTATTTTTTGTGGTTGGTAGTAGATGGTAATATTGCTATTATTTCACACTGCTATAATCATAGCATATTTATCATTTTGTTTAATTAACTTTACTTTGGAATAACTTTAGTTTTACAGAAAAGTTGCAGAGATAGTCCAGAGTTACTATATTCCCTTCACCCAGCTTCTCTGAATGCTAAATACCATAGTGCATTTGTCAAAACTAAGAAGTTAATAGTGGTGCATAACTATTAACTAAACTACTGATTTTACCACTTTTTCTAATAATATTGTTTATCTGTTCTCAGATCTAATCCAGGATATCATATTGTATTTAGCATAACATATTTAATGGCTACATAATATTTAATTAAGTAGCTGTGCAGCAATTTTTAAAACTATTTCACTGTTATTGAACATCAAGGGTTTCTTTTTAACTTCCTGGCCTTTTTAAAACACATGGACCATGGTCATGATAACAACAGAAATAATAGTATTCTTACTATAAACTATTTCACAATAAATAGTAAATTTTAATTAGTGCTAAAAAATGACCCTGTGCTCTTTGTTAAAAAGGCTGCTTACCTCCACCACTCTTATATCAGCTGTATAACATGCAAAAGCTTTGCACTTTTTGCAGAGCAGTTTTTTATTTTTCTTATCAGGTACAGGTTTTACCTTTTCTTGACTATCCCTGATGAATTTTTCATGACTTTGTATCTTGCAAACCTACATACAAAAAAAAACCCAACCTCATAAATTTGTAATTTAAGAATAAGAGGTATATACATAGCCCCATACATACACACACATATATATATATACAATCATTCATATGTAACATCCATGAACATACAGTACTTTGCCTTATTTATAAAAATCCCACAGATAATTTTATTGGTTCTCCTAACTCTTTTGTTAGGCCTCCAATTAGTTTTTTAATTTCTTCATCAAAGATTCCATATAAGCACTAAAGATGTCCATAAAATACTCTTTTGAATCATACTTTCTACATTAGTAGTTGATAAAGCTTTAAAAATCCTTTACAAATTGACTGTTTCAGGCATAATTACACCCAATTCCAGGGCATAAACCTATTGGATGGAACAGCAGGCAGAAGAGCCCCCCCCCCACCTAAAGTCTTTTTTCTCTCTCCCCTTGTAACCACAGAAAATATTGTTGAATTATAGTAAAATTAAATGTATGTATAGTAAGACTGCATTCTATTTCAAAATTTAGGCCTTGGCCAACTACAACTAAGAACCCTGAGCATTATATATAAAATAAACATACAAGGATTCTTCAGGGTGAAGAGCAGAAGGCAGACCAGCTAGGACCCTCAGTACACTAGAAACAACATGGTGGTGGTGAGTCCCTAGGTTTTCTTTTCACCTCATATATCCCAGACTTGAAGCTGAAGAAGCTGGCAACCACAAATGCCCATGGACACATATTTTTTTCAAGTATTAACAAAAGCCTACTCTCTCTAGCCAATGGGTCAAGAAAGGGGCAGCTTAGCAGAACAGAAAACTGTTTAGACAATAACTTCTATTCCTACCAGTCACTACAGAAATAAAAAACAAACCTGTGGCTCAACTGCCACCTATGCCAGCAAAGGCTGAGTGATGACTCTATGGCAGGGCTGTAATGGAGCACCCAGCACTCCCACCTGCTCGTCAGAGAAGAAAGACCAAGTAGAAAGCCGGGGCTTTCAGCCCTGCCACATGGTGGCTCCACACACTTGTGGTGTCAGTGGAAATCTGGTGGTGCACCAGAGCTCCCACCCTGACCAGCAGTAATGAGGAACCTCCCCTTTTTGCTATCAGTAGAAGCTGAGTGGTGAACCTAGACTTCTATCTCCACCTGGCAGTAATGAGATAATGTCCCCACCTCCTCTGCCAGAACAGAGTCAGAAAAAACACAGAAGGTTAAATCTGATCCTGAGTTTCATAACATAGTATGACAATGTCCAGGTTTTAGTAAATAAATGATTCTTCATAACAAAAAACAGAAATATCTCAAATTGAATGAAAAAAAGACAATCAATTGATGCCAACTCTAAGATGACAGAGATGAAAATTTTCAAAGTAGCTATAATAAAAATGCTTCAATGAGTAATCACAAACACTTTTGAAACATGAACAAATATAAAGGCTTAACAAAGAAATGGAAGATATCAAGAAGAACCAAATGGGAATTTTAGAACTGAAAAATACAATAAACAAAATTAAAAGCTCAGTGGATGGGCTCAAACAGCAGAATGGAGGGGACAAAGGAAAAATCAGTGACCTGGAAAATAAAAATATATAAATTACCCAAATAAACAAACCAAAAAAATAGAAATAGACTTTAAAAAAATGAACAGAGCCTCAGGGACCTTTAGGTCTATTAAAAAAGATCTAATATTTATGTCACTGGGGTCTTAGAAAAAGAAAGAGAGCAGAGCTTAAAAAGTACTGGAAGAAATAATGGCTGAGCATTCCCAAATTTAACATAATGTAACATAAACTTACAGATTCAAGAAACTGAACAAATCACTAAACAGGAAAACCTAAAATAATCCACACCAAGACACATTACAATTAAACTTCTGAAAACAAAGACATAGGAAAAAAATCTGAAAGCAGCCAGAAAAAAAGGACACCTTACCTATACAGGGAAAACTATCTGAATGACAGCAGATTTCTCAGCAGAGACTATGGAGGCCAAAAGGAAGTGACACAATATTTTTCAAATACTGAAAGATAACTGTCAACTCAGACTCTTATACCCAGCAATATCCTTCAAAAATAAAGGAGAAATCAAGACATTCTCAGATGAAGGAAAACTAAGAGAATTTACTCAACAACAGACCCTAAAAGAATAGCCAAAAAAGAAGTTCTCTAAGTTAATGATAAAACAAGGAAACTTGAAACATCATGCAGGAAGAAAGAACATGTGATTTCCACAATGTCAACTGTAGAAGGATCTGCTCTGTCCCACCAGTTTGTGATGCTGCCTCTTTTTTATCAGTGTTTCAGGTAGAAACAGCCTAGGTGCAAATCCTCTTCCTACCACTTAGCAGCATGTGATTTGGGGCAAGTGCCTCAATTCCCTCAAATACAAGGTAGGAACAATAACAGCACCTAATTCATGGGCTGTTGGGAGGTAGCATGAGTTTATAACTGCTCAGGATCACCTGGCACAGGTTAAATACTCATTGGTATTAGCTTTTCTCTGTTAGGCTGGTCTTAACCACCATAAAAATGTTAATGACAGTAGTTTGTACTTCAGTATTGGGTAGGGCAATTCCCATTCATTTATTATTTTTTCAGAGCTATCATAGCTATTTTCATCTATTTATTCTTATATATAAACTCTGGGGCCATTTTATCAAGTTAAATGCCATTTATACTTTGATTATGGGTTATGATAAACCTGTAAGTGAATTTGGGATTAATGCACATCTTTAAAATATTCAGCCATTCTATTCAAGAACATTACCATGTTCTTTTCTTTTGTCCTAATTTATCTTATATCTGTCAGTAAAATTTTTGTACTTCTCAGTAAAATACTTTGTATTTACTTATGCTTCAAACATTTCTGGTTAAGCCAGTAGATATTGAACAGATGGGCTCTGCCAGTTCCACTCCTAACTAGCTATGTGATCTACAAGGCACTGATGCCTTCATGCCTCAATTTCCCTCCTACAAAATGACAAGAGACTCTACTGCATGGATTACTGTGAGGCCTGTTGATATAAATAAAGCATTTACAGGGCTTAGTGGAGAGCCCATGTTCTGCATGTATGACTTGCAGTCACTGCTGTCATTGTTAATGGAAATCTCCCTCCCCGTATGTCATTTATAACACTGTTATGTGCACTGATCCCCTTATTTCATTTGGATAAATTTCCAGAAGTGAAAGTCCTAGGTTACATGATATACATTTCCCTATGAGCAATTCTAATTCCGTTTTCTCAGACATGATTCTAATCACTACCCAAGGCAGATTGGGGGCAAGGAGAATGTGATAGGAAACAGGGTAAAAATATGAACTTGCCTTTTAGGCATCAATTAAAAAAAAATTCATTCACATCTAATGATAATAAAATTTAATTAACTACTAATAATCCAAAATATTCTAAATTTCCTATAGCCAACAGATATAAAACCTAGTAAGTTAAAACAAACTATTATTGATATACTTAAAGCTAAATAAAACTCAGTAAGAGGATAAAGAGGCTCAACCAAAGTCACAGACTAAATCTACCACATACAGCATCCCCCTCCACCTGTAGTTGAAGAGGCAGCCTAACTCCATGTACTGAGGTGGAAAAATCAAAACTATGAAACCCTGATTGTGTGTAGTTATAAGCATATCATGTTGGAAACTGAACTTCTTTACATCCACATCTTGTTCTTCACTCCAGGAGAAAGGTAAAAGGCTTTCCTTTTTTGGAAAAAATAGGGTTCCTCGCTTTTGTCTACTGAATTGTAAGGTTTATCTTTGTGAAGTTAGAATATGTCTCACACCTCTGTCCAACAACAACTCTCATTTCTTCAGCACTTATTTTACACCAGGCACTGTGCTAAACAATGTATACATCTCATTTTTATCTCCGAAACTGCCCTGTGAGTTAAATGCTGTTATTTTCCCAACTTTATGAATGAGGAGACTGGTGATTTAAAAGGCAGAGTAATTTCCTGAGGTCACACATCTTGTAAATGGCAGAACTGGGACTAGAACCACTGATTCTAATGCAGCTCTTCTCCAGCCCTACAGTGCTGAACATTTTCAGAGACTGTGAGATGAAAATCCGCAAAGGGTTTTAAAGAAAGTGTGGGTGTACACGCAGGCATGTGCGTGTGTGTGCATCTTGACTTTCCCCAATCTGGTTCATGTTTCTGTGTTATTAAGGAAATTACAGTAAAATGAAGGTCACTATCAAGAAGCTGAGTTGAACAGGTATGCTACTCCAAAGTATATGTCATTATCCATACCTACAAACAGGCGTCCAACACCACCTACACAGTACACTGGGAGCTTTTCTCTGAGGACTCCGATGTTTAGAGAGAAAGGAACATCTGAGGAAAGATTAAGAAGGTCTATGTCTTGTAGTGTTAAGGTGTAGTCCTCAAGATGAACTGTCAACTTAAGAGTAATTTTGCTCAGTTTGCCTTTTAAATCCAAAAACATAATTTCAGGTATTAGCACTAATAAAATATGGTTTAATCTCACTGAGACTTAAAGCAAAATGAATCTGATGTCCACTGCAGGATAAAATTTTAAGCACTAACTTAAGTTTTAATGCAACACTTGGAGAAACACGATAAAAGGTACCAGCCATGCTCACATTCCCTGTTTATTACTTATGGTCATATCTGAAAGACTAACACAGATTAAAAGACTTACCTTTTCTTTAAATACTGCTTCATCCCATGACTGAAGGCGTAAAATAGAGTCATTCATCATTTTTTCTTTGCATATGTTTACTTTTTCTTTTTCAATTACATCAGCATTACTAGTCACAAGAAAGCACTTGCTACCTCTTGCTCTTCCTCTGCCTATCAGAAAATAAATATATTATTTGATGTCTTTGACTTAAAACTCTGAAAAATCTGAGAATACCCAATCCTGACCAAGTAAGCCACCTTTAAGGTCAATTAAACCAGAGTCCACCATGTCACTGGTCACACACTCAACTATGGCTCAGTAAAGGAGAAAATCCAGAATAAAAGACACACTCACAAATCAGACCAATTGGCAGAGAGACAAGGGTAGGGATATTCCTAAAATACAACTTTGGTTCACTGAATCCTGCTTTCTGGCAAACTGAGCTGTTAAGAGTATGGACTCAAATGAAGGTGTGCACCTGCACATTAAAAAAGTGCCCATCTAGCCTGGCTTCCTCAGGGTCTCCATGGTGCAGTGTGATTGGGCAGCCACATTACAAAAACACTGCTTTAAAGACAGTCCAACATGAACCCTCAGGAACATGCCGAGGGCTCTAAGATCAATAATAAACAGACCCTCTCTCAAGAGCCTTCAGGAAATGGGATTGATATGTTCACAACCACCAAAATATAGGTGGAAATAGTAAGTGCTATAAGAAAGATAGATATGAAGAGCCAAGGGCATTCCAAAGAGAGATTATTGCATCCAGGGGGAATTAGGGACAGGTGATATGGAGGCAGGGGAAGAGGAAAAACAATCTTATCAGTAGTAGTACATGAACAATTCTTTCAACAAGGAAGAAAATGATAAAGTCAGGTTAGCTGAAATGGATAATAAATAAAGGGGAAGAATTGGAAATAAGGTTGGAAAGATAAGTGGGTGCTGGATTTTGAACTTTTTGACATCAAGTAAATCAGGGAACCACTGGAGTTTCTATACAGGGAAGTGACTTGCTCAGAGCTGTTTTTCAGGAAGTAATGTGACAGCTGTTGTTATGGAAACTGGAAAAAGGAACAGAGACTAGTTAGGAGACTATCTAGTTCAAGTGAGACAGAAGAACCCATGGAGTATCTCTTCTGGACTACAGGGAGCCCATGAGCACCACAAATATAACCATGAAAGGTCCACACACTGCCTGCCTAAGACTTCATCCACCTGGGGATCACCCTTCCATAAATGTGTCAGTCAATGTTGATAAAGTAAACAGTATTTACTGTGAGCAAGAGTCAAAATAGGTATATGTTAGTGGACAAAACTGTAGCACCCAAACCTGACCAAGGAAACTACCTTTAAGGTCAATAATGCCAGAGTCCACTGTGCCACTGGTCACACACCCAACAATGGCTCAGTAAACGAGAACATTCAGAATGACAGATACACTCAGACCAATTGGCAGCTAATTAATAATGGCATCAAAACTTCTCTCACCTCTGGTTTGGATCATTTTGATGACACTGCCCACATACTCATACAGAATGACCAGATTGCAATGAGCAATGTCGAGTCCTTCATCAGCTACTGAGGTGGCGATCAGCATCTTGTTATCTCCATTGGCTCTGAATGCATCCAACACACACTTCTGCGCTGGGAGGGTCATTCCTGTGTTTAAGTCAGAGGGTATTACACAACTCACCAAAGAGGGAACTTTACCCTTGAAAAAACAGCTCTAATTATAGAATGCTTATTACATGCCAGGTACCTTAAGTGCTTTATATTCATGATGCCCCAAAAACCCTAGCCAGAGGGGCCAATTCCTATTCTTATTTTAGAAGGGGCATTAGGGGGAATCTAACTTGGACTCTGCCAGAAGACTGCCTGAGTTCCAATCCCAGCTGTGGCACTTACAAGCTGTATAGCTTCAGTCACGTTATCTCAGAACAAATACTGAGTTTTTGTGAAAATATCAGCAGCATATTATAAAGCCTTTGCATGTGTATAGGAGACTAGAGCTGACAAAGCATTTTCACATCTACTTACTCACTGGAATTCACAAAGCCCTTTTAAGTTGATGTGGCAAGTATGATTCCCCTTTACAAATGAAGATCATGAGGTTCTGGAGGTATCAAAAACTGACAGGCTAGCTAATGGCAGAACTGAATCCTGAATTTAAGTCTAGGACCCCAACAGTATACAGTTCTCTACCACTTATGTACTGAGAGGAGAAAGAGTACCAGGGTCTCTACCTTAGAGTTAACAGAATTTGTAAAACTTCCAATTTTTTCACAGTATACTAGCAGTAAAAATCTGAGATATATTTTATTATGGCCAAACCAATTTCATTTCACCATCATCTTCTAATGAACAATTAGCACACCCAAGAAAGACACCTCACTTTATTAATTTCTGAACCTATTCATCCATTTGTTCATCAGCAGTTATGTTTCATCAGATAAAGAAACAATGGCTAAAAGGTCCATCTTTATCTACAAGGAGCTCATAATTCATGGAAGAAGGATATAAATTGGAAGCTATAATTCAATGTGATAACAGTGAAGTAGGGGCAGAAGTTGGGTGCTATGAGAAGGTAGAAGGGACACTACTACTAGTTTTAGGAGGTTGCGGAAAGCTGCCTTGGCAGAAGCACAATGACTGGAACAAAGTAAGTTCTTAAACACATGCAGGTGGGTGGGTAGATGGATGGATGAATAAATGAACAAATAAAATATTTCTGAGTATTTGTAGAGGAATAACAAAGCTTGGACTCATTTTGGAGTCGGATTGCAGAGAACTTTGAATTGCAACCAAATAATGTCATGTTGGATTCATTTGGTAAACAAAATTTTCAAAATCTGGATTCATGAAGTTTAAAATTTGCATAAGGAGAAAGTGCAAGTGTGATGAGTGAGGAGTGACAGGGTGAGGACTGCTTCTTATAAACAACCCTGAACAGGAGGAACAGAGCAAGGACCTGTCCTTGCTGGTCACTTAGGTGTGGGAAGCACAGCTATGAGGTCAGGTGAGGCCTGGCCACCTAGGATCCTCCTGCATGATAATGGGGGCAGCCTTTCATCCTCCAGTCACCCTGGCTAGATTTCAGGATTGTCTGCTTGGATTTCTTTTAAGGTGGAAAATACAGAATATGCACAAAAGCATCTACAGTTTACAGAACAATAAAATAGAAACAGAACATTTCTGAATCTAGTTAATCTACTGGTTGAGAATTTGAGCAGGAGAGTGACATGCTCAAACAAACTTTGGTTTTTCTGCAGAGCATACAGGAGGAGACAGTGTCTAAAGGTTTTGGCATCTAAGCACTGTCATGGCCTTTTTTTTTTTTTTTTTGAAGCAGAGTGAAAGTTTTATTTAGTTACTTAAAGAGAGAAGTGCAGCAGGCAGCTCAGCAAGGAGAGGCACCCTGAAAGGTTGGAGAGAAAGTTTAATATTAAAAAGTTACACATTTAGAAAGTGCAGGTGACCTCAGAAAGAGGAGCACCCGTCATGGCCTTTTGATGTGTCAACTTGGTTAGGCTGAACTGTAGTTCCCAGTTGTTCATTTAGGTGCTTCTGAGAAAATTACACTGCAGATGTAATTAAAGTTCCTAGTCAGTTAACCAAAAGGGATTTCCTCCTAGGTGGGCCTGACCTAATCAAGTCAGCCCTTTAAAAGAGGGCTTGCACGAGTATAACAACAAAGCAAAACTGAAGGAACAAAACAGCAGCAGACTCACAGACTCCAAGAAGGGATTAGTGGTTACCAAAAGAGAGGGGTGAGGGAAGGAGGGAAATGGGGATTAAGGGGTATTATGATTAATACACATAGTGTGTGTGGGGGTCACGGGGAAGACAGTGTAGCACAGAGAAGACAAGTAGTGACTCTGTGGCATCTTACTACACTGATGGACAGTGACTTCAATGGAATGTGGGGGGACTTGATAATATGGGTGAATGTAGTAACCACAATGTTTTACATGTGAAACCTTCATAAGAGTGTATATCAATGATACCTTAATAAAAAAATAAAATAAAATAAAATAAAAAATAAAAGAGGGCTTACACATTCTCCAAATAGCTCCTGACAATGGAAATCCAGCCTGTGGCTGACCACCTGCCCTCTAGACTTCAGATTTGCTTTGCTAGTCCAATTGTGTATGCCAATCCCCAAATCTGTGTGTGTGCATGTATGTGTGTATGTACACAAACACATGAACAATATATGTGCCTATGTGCTTGTATGTATGATCTCCTACTGGTTTTGTTTCTCCTGTTGAACCCTGCTGACACAAGGATTAAAAAAGAATTTGAATATATTATATATATTCTTATACATAGTATACTAAACCTAATTCATTATATATAAATACCTAGGTTCTGATCTGTTTTGCAACGTCCAGTCAATATGCCAGGTTTTAGAAAGCTGAGTTTAGAATTTTCTTCAATCCATTTCTTTAAAGCCTGCAAATAAAAAGCAATTATCAGATGGACACTAGTTGTATACCATCTATAATAATTCAACATTGAAATATATATAAGAAGAAAGAAAATTTTAAATTGGTATACAGATTTTTGATTGACAAACCTGAAAAGATAAAAAACTTCTTGAAACTATAATATATAGATCTTTGTGACCTGATATGGTTTAATTGCCAAGATATTTTATATGAAAAATGCAAAGTTCATAACAGTAGGAGTGTAGAACTAGTAAGTGAGTTTAGCAAGACCTCAGGACAAAAGATCAATATACAGAAATCAGCTGTATTCCTACATACCAGCAACAAACAATAGAAAGTACAGTTTATAAAAGGATTGACAGGGCGGAGCCAGGATGGCGGCGTGAGTAGAGCAGCGGAAATCTCCTCCCAAAACCACATATATCTATGAAAATATAACAAAGACAACTCTTCCTAAAATAGAGACTAGAGGACACAGGACAACATCCAGACAACATCCAGACCACATCCACACCTGCGAGAACCAAGCGCCTCGCAAAAGGGGTAAGATACAAGCCCCGGCCTGGTGGGTCCCGAGCGCCCCTCCGCCCAGCTCCCAGCAGGAGGAGAGGAGTCTGAGCTGGAGGGAGAAGGAGCCCAGGACTGCTGAACACCCAGTCGCAGCCATCCTGACCAGAGCGCAGACACAGTGCATGCGCAGGGCCCTGGATACTAGGGAAA